TGTGACAAGCCCCTAGTTAACCTCTCACTCAGTGTGAGTCACTGTAAGGATTTAGTGTTTCAAGCCCCTAGTTAACCCATGAAAGTACCTTCCTTAGTGTGAGTCACTGTAAAGATTTCTTGTGACAAGCCCCTAGTTAACCTCTGACAGTACCTACCTTAGTGTGAATCACTGTAAAGATGTCGTGTGACAAGCCCCTAGTTAACCTCTGACAGTACCTGCCTTAGTGTGAGTCACTGTAAAGTTTTCGTGTGACAAGCCCCTATTTAACCTCTGACAGTACCTACCTAAGTGTGAGTTACTGTAAAGATTTCGTGTGACAAATCCCTAGTTAACCTCTGACTTAGTATGAGTCACTGTGAAGATTTAGTGTGACAAGCCCCTAATTGACTGCTGACTTAGTGTGAGTCACTGTTAGGTTTTAGTGTGACAAGCCCCTAGTTAACCTCTGACAGTACCTACCTAAGTGTGAGTCACTGTAAAGATTTAGTGTGACAAGCCCTTAGTTAACCTCTGACAGTACCTGCCTTAGTGTGAGTCACTGTAAAGATTCCGTGTGACAAATCCCTAGTTAACCTCTGACTTAGTATGAGTCACTGTGAAGATTTAGTGTGACAAGCCCCTAGTTGACTGCTGACTTAGTGTGAGTCACTGTAAGGTTTAAGTGTGACAAGCCCCTAGTTAACCTCTGACAGTACCTACCTAAGTGTGAGTCACTGTAAAGATTTAGTGTGACAAGCCCTTAGTTAACCTCTGACAGTACCTACCTAAGTGTGAGTCACTGTTAGGTTTTAGTGTGACAAGCCCCTAGTTAACCTCTGTCAGTACCTGCCTTAGTGTGAGTCACTGTAAAGATTTCGTGTGACAAGCCCCTAGTTAACCTCTGTCAGTACCTGCCTTAGTGTGAGTCACTGTAAAGATTTAGTGTGACAAGCCCCTAGTTGACCTCTGACAGTACCTGACTTAGTGTGAGTCACTGTAAAGATTTAGTGTGACAAGCCCCTAGTTAACCTCTGACTTAGTGTGAGTCACTGTAAAGATTTAGTGTGACAAGCCCCTAGTTAACCTCTGACTTAGTGTGAGTCACTGTAAAGATTTAGTGTGACAAGCCCCTAGTTAACCTCTGACTTAGTGTGAGTCACTGTAAAGATTTAGTGTGACAAGCCCCTAGTTAACCTCTGACTTAGTGTGAGTCACTGTAAAGATTTAGTGTGACAAGCCCCTAGTTAACCTCTGACTTAGTGTGAGTCACTGTAAAGATTTAGTGTGACAAGCCCCTAGTTAACCTCTGACTTAGTGTGAGTCACTGTAAAGATTTAGTGTGACAAGCCCCTAGTTAACCTCTGACTTAGTGTGAGTCACTGTAAAGATTTAGTGTGACAAGCCCCTAGTTAACCTCTGACTTAGTGTGAGTCACTGTAAAGATTTAGTGTGACAAGCCCCTAGTTAACCTCTGACTTTGTGTGAGTCACTGTAATGATTTAATGTGACAAGCCCCTAGTTAACCTCTGACTTAGTGTGAGTCACTGTAAAGCTTTCGTGTGACAAGCCCCTAGTTAACCTCTGACTTAGTGTGAGTCACTTTAAAGATTTAGTGTGACAAGCCCCTAGTTAACCTCTGACTTAGTGTCAGTCACTGTAAATATTTAGTGTGACAAGCCCCTAGTTAACCTCTGACTTAGAGTGAGTCACTGTAAAGATAAAGTGTGACAAGCCCCTAGTTAACCTCTGACTTAGTGTGAGTCATTGTAAAGATTTAGTGTGACAAGCGCCTAGTTAACCTCTGACTTACAGTGAGTCACTGTAAAGATAAAGTGTGACAAGCCCCTAGTTAACCTCTGACTTAGAGTGAGTCACTGTAAAGATAAAGTGTGACAAGCCCATAGCTGACCTCTGACTTAGTGTGACACGCCCCTAGTTAACCTCTGACTTAGTGTGACACACCCCTAGCTGACCTCTGACAGTACATCATGTCACCCCTTACCTTCACCTCCTTCCGTAGCTTACTGTACTGGGAATAGGCAACTAAAAAAATACAAATGACATTCATATGATTTTGTACTTTGACTCAATAATGATTAATTTAATGTTTCCAATTAATAATTGACAAAGCTATATCAACCATGACTGGTCCTATCAGTAAGTGTGAGTAAGAAAAAGTTCATCTTTATAACGATTACTCTACATAGAATTGAATAAAAACAAATTGGAGATGACTTTCCGGAAGTAATCCAATTATCGTTTATTTTTTTATTTTCTTTATGTTCAGTTCTGGAGTAACTCTTTCCTTTTTTCCATGTACTATAAATTATCGTGTCAAATAATAACCTTTGATGTCGTCTGGTGCCTCTTCAATGTCTTCCTGAAAAAATTAATCAACAAAACTTTTAACTTCTGTTTTCAAATGATCATATTTAGGGTACAAGCATAATGAAGTATCCAATTTCCCCACATATTGTTCATATATCATCAAAATACGTTCAGCAATTCAAAACTTATTATAGAATAGTGTAACATTGACTTTTAATCCATAGCTGTGACCTTGGCCTTGATTGTATACACCCAGGAGTTCCACATAACCAACTGTACGGTACCAAATTAATATAATTTTTCTCCACCTTGAAGGTAAGAAAGAAAAATCTCAACCCGAGTGGAAAGATTCTTAAATGTCTAGCCAGAGGGCCAACCATTTTTTAATCTTAATTACCATGCGGGTTGAGATTTTCTGTCTCGCTTCCAATGTCAGGAATGATTATTTTCTCCCACCTGAATCACAAGTGGTAAATGCATGGAACACAAGAGTTGATTTACAGTTTTAACAACAAATATAATGACTTATCTTCCATGATTTGTTATTATTGATGCAACTTCAATGTATTGTTGATGTGACGTCAATGTATTGTTGATGTGACGTCAATGTATTGTTACTGTGACGTCAATGTACTGTTGATGTGACGTCAATGTAATGTTGATGTGACGTCAATGTATTGTTTTGTTGATGTGACGTCAATGAATTGTTGATGTGACGTCAATGTAATGTTGATGTGACGTCAATGTAATGTTGATGTGATGTCAATGTAGTGTTGATGTGACGTCAATGTAGTGTTGATGTGACGTCAAGGTAGTGTTGATGTGACGTCAATGTATTGTTGATGTGACGTCAATGTATTGTTGATGTGACGTCAATGAATTTTGATGTGACGTCAATGTATTGTTGATTAAACTTAAATAAATTGTTGATGTGACGTCAATGTATTGTTTTGTTGATGTGACGTCATTGTATTGTTTATGTGACGTCGATGAATTGTTGATGTGATTCAATGTATTGTTGATGTGATGTCAATGTATTGTTGATGTGACGTCGATGTATTGTTGATGTGACCTCAATGTATTGTTGATGTGACGTCAATGTATTGTTGATGTGACGTCAATGTGATGTTGATGTGACGTCAATGTGATGTTGATGTGACGTCAATGTATTGTTGATGTGACGTCAATGTATTGTTGATGTGACGTCAATGTATTGTTGATGTGACGTCAATGTATTGTTGATGTGACGTCAATGTATTGTTGATGTGACGTCAATGTATTGTTGATGTGACGTCAATGTATTGTTGATGTGACGTCAATGTATTGTTGATGTGACGTCAATGTATTGTTGATGTGACGTCAATGTATTGTTGATGTGACGTCAATGTATTGTTGATGTGACGTCAATGTATTGTTGATGTGACGTCAATGTATTGTTGATGTGACGTCAATGTATTGTTGATGTGACGTCAATGTATTGTTGATGTGACGTCAATGTATTGTTGATGTGACGTCAATGTATTGTTGATGTGACGTCAATGTATTGTTGATGTGACGTCAATGTATTGTTGATGTGACGTCAATGTATTGTTGATGTGACGTCAATGTATTGTTGATGTGACGTCAATGTATTGTTGATGTGACGTCAATGTATTGTTGATGTGACGTCAATGCATTGTTGATGTGATGTCAATTTATTGTTTTGTTGATGTGACGTCATTGTATTGTTTATGTGACGTCGATGAATTGTTGATGTGATTCAATGCATTGTTTATGTGACGTCAATGTATTGTTGATGTGACGTCGATGAATTGTTGATGTGACGTGAATGTATTGGTGATGTGACGTCAATGTATTGGTGATGTGACGTGAATGTATTGTTGATGCGACGTCGATGTATTGTTGATGTAATGTCAATGTATTGTTGATGTGACGTCAATGCATTGTTAATGAGACGTCAATGCATTGTTGATGTGACGTCAATGTATTGTTGATGTGACGTCGATGTATTGTTGATGTGATGTCAATGCATTGTTGATGTGACGTCAATGTATTGTTGATATGACGTCAATGTATTGTTGATGTGACGTCAATGTATTGTTATGTGATGTCAATGTGTTGTTGATGTGACATCAATGTAATGTTGATGTGACGTCAATGCATTGTTGATGTGACGTCAATGTTTTGTTGATGTGACGTCAATGTATTGTTGATGTGATGTCAATGTATTGTTGATGTGACGTCAATGTATTGTTGATGTGATGTCAATGAATTGTTGATGTGACGTCTGTTTTGTTTTGTTGATGTGACGTCAATGTATTGTTGATGTGATGTCAATGTATTGTTGTTGTGACGTCAATGTATTGTTTTGTTGATGTGATGTCAATGTATTGTTGATGTGATGTCAATGTACTGTTGATGTGATGTCAATGTATTGTTGATGTGACGTCAATGCATTGTTGATGTGACGTCTATGTATTGTTTTGTTGATGTGATGTCAATGTATTGTTGATGTGACATCAATGCATTGTTGATGTGACGTCAATGTATTGTTGATGTGACGTCAATGTATTGTTACTGTGACATCAATGTAGTGTTGATGTGACGTCAATGTATTGTTGATGTGATGTCAATGTATTGTTGATGTGATGTCAATGTGTTTTTGTTCCATTTGGCTTTAATTCATCTAATTGAATCAGGATTTATAGTTGACCACAACAGTTGAAGAACAATCGTCAAAAACATATGTAAACAAAAGTTTTAATCAAACCCATGACAGTTACCTGCTTTGGTTTTCGACTATGATCTTTGCAGAATTGGGTTTCCCAATGCTTCAGGGTTTTCTTTAGACTAGATATTGTATCCATGTCTGAAAAATTGATATGACAATTTGTATTCCCTCATCTGTCGGCAATAAATATAACACAGTAACACCTAGGTCACCACGCAGATCAATCAACAGTGTCCATTTCCCTGGGGCACGGGTAATGATAAAAAAACGTTTCACACTGAAAACCGTACACAATTATTAATAAATATGTCTATGGTTGTCAATACCAGACAAATTATTCTATAGAGTATCCCCGAACATCACGATTGTTGACAGATCTTTAATGTCTAATAAATATTTTTTGTCTTCATATAGCCCTAAGTAACGAAGACACACGGCAGAATTGGCATACTTTTGTTAAATGTAGACAGATTATCAATTTGTGGAAATAAGTTTCCTGTCTGGTGGTTGACCTCTGATCATGACACATGACCCCCTAAACACTGCTGACTTTTTGTCTTGTTGTCTTATAATTTACAGCAAATGAATAATTTGCACTGTAATATAATTTATGAAATTGTGTATCAGCTGGCAACTGATGAAAAGTTATAATGAGTGGAAAGTTATCAAAGCTCAGACAAGATTGATTTCATTCAATGAATTTATATACCACTTGTTGAGAATCCGTTTTGATTAGAAATGAGTTCCATGAGATATCTTGTACAGATAAGAACACAGGGAGGCACACACAGATGGACCACTGATGAAGTGGTTACCTCACACTCCCTCACTAAGTGTAGGGGGGGGGGGGGGGGGGGGGGGGCTATAACTATCATATCAGCTGTTTTGCGAACATTAATTTGATGCTTGTGTGTTGTGGTTTTTTTTACAATAACTAAGCTGTATGGGTTTTTTTGTACAATAACTAACCTATGTGCTTTTTTTCTTTTTTTTTCTATAATGACAAGAGGCATCTTCCTGAAGGTATTTTGTAAACTACTCTTACACATGTACATGTATCTACTAACACAACCTGTTGAGAACGACAACATATATAGATGTCCCAATGCTGACAGAACACATATATAGATGTCCCAATGCTGACAGAACACATATATAGATGTCCCAATGCTGACAGAACACATATATAGATGTCCCAATGCTGACAGAACACATATATAGATGTCCCAATGCTGACAGAACACATATATAGATGTCCCAATGCTGACAGAACACATATATAGATGTCCCAATGCTGACAGAACACATATATAGATGTCCCAATGCTGACAGAACACATATATAGATGTCCCAATGCTGACAGAACACATATATAGATGTCCCAATGCTGACAGAACACATATATAGATGTCCCAATGCTGACAGAACACATATATAGATGTCCCAATGCTGACAGAACACATATATAGATGTCCCAATGCTGACAGAACACATATATAGATGTCCCAATGCTGACAGAACACATATATAGATGTCCCAATGCTGACAGAACACATATATAGATGTCCCAATGCTGACAGAACACATATATAGATGTCCCAATGCTGACAGAACACATATATAGATGTCCCAATGCTGACAGAACACATATATAGATGTCCCAATGCTGACAGAACACATATATAGATGTCCCAATGCTGACAGAACACATATATAGATGTCCCAATGCTGACAGAACACATATATAGATGTCCCAATGCTGACAGAACACATATATAGATGTCCCAATGCTGACAGAACACATATATAGATGTCCCAATGCTGACAGTTAAACCTGTGCCTTTACCAGCACTTGTGCTCTACAGTGCATGGCTGACCTAGGGTGGTCAGACATACCTAACATCTTATGGCCAACCAGGACAGGTCATTTTTACTATATCAAACTCTATACTTGACACTTTGAATCAATACATGATACTGGCATCCTCCAGTGTGTGGTAATTAATGATTTTCAGGTTGATTTCTATCTATAAGAAAACCAGATAGCCGCTTTTGATTTCTTTTGATTGGTTACATTGTTGCGGAGGTGGTCTTTAGGTTGTGTTAAATGTGAACATGTGTAGCTATGCCAAGTTTAATGTTATTGGAGAGGACCACACATGATCTGGGGTACAAAAACAACCTCCTCAGTTTCACCGACTTTTAAGTTTGTTTTACAAAGATTGAAACCATTAAGTGCAGACAGATAGACTGGAACATTCCTGATATCAAAGTGAGGATCACATACTCCAGAGTATGATACAATCAACATGATAACCGTTATAACAGACTAGCTAGATCATAATGAACTATCCCCTTTGTTAACACAGCAGTAATGGAGAAATATAGAATTACTATTTTATTACTATTGAATTTCAAAGCAACCGAAATATCCTGTTCAACATTTATTCCAGTTTTGACATCATACTTGGTCTCGTGTTCAACTTTCATTCCAGTTTTGACATCAGTCTTGGTTTCGGTGTCCAGATTTGATATCAGACTTGGTTTCTGTGTCCAGTTTTGACATCAGACTTGATTTCTGTGTTCAACATTTATGTCCAGTTTTGACATCAGACTTGGTTTTTCTGTCCAGTTTTGACATCAGACTTGGTTTCTCTGTTCAGTTTTAACATCATCTATATGGATCGATACTCTCTCTTCACTGCTGTCCATACATGTGTCAGGGGAGGCAACTCAATTTAGGATCTATTTCCTACCGGTACTTTGTTATTTGCTAACCTGCACTACATTAAAAATTGGTTAGGCCAAAACAAACAGAAACACTTGTGCTTCCGCTATCATCCTCAGAAAAGATATGGTAGGTATATACAGTAGGTAGGTATTTTATTTTATTTTATGTATGGTTTTGAGAAGTAGGTCAGAGGAAACTATTTGCTTCCTGAAAATGCATCAACTTAGCTAACTAGTCAACATAAGTGTTTTGGCCAAACTCTGCTACAGTAATAACCTAAATAAAGGGAAGCTATGTTACTGTACATACAAAATCCATAATGTAGTGAGACAGGGATCTTTAGAGGAGTCCAATGTTAGGGCACAGTGGGCCTGTGTCCCAACGTTAGGGCACAGTGGGCCTGTGTTCCAATGTTAGGACACAGTGCGCCTGTGTTCCAATGTTAGGGCACAGTGGGCCTGCGTTCCAATGTTAGGGCACAGTGGGCCTGTGTCCCAACGTTAGGGCACAGTGGGCCTGTGTCCCAACGTTAGGGCACAGTGGGCCTGTGTTCCAATGTTAGGGCCCAGTGGGCCTGTGATCCAACGTTAGGGCACAGTGGGCCTGTGTTCCAACGTTAGGGCACAGTGGGCCTGTGATCCAATGTTAGGGCCCAGTGGGCCTGTGTTCCAACGTTAGGCCACAGCGGGCCTGTGTCCAAACGTTAGGGCACAGTGGGCCTGTGTCCTAACATTAGGGCACAGTGGGCCTGTGTTCCAATGTAAGGGCACAGTGGGCCTGTGATCCAACGTAAGGGCACAGTGGGCCTGTGTTCCAATGTTAGGGCACAGTGGGCCTGTGTTCCAACGTTAGGGCACAGTGGGCCTGTGTTCCAACGTTAGGGCACAGTGGGCCTGTGTTCCAACGTTAGGGCACAGTGGGCCTGTGTTCCAACGTTAGGGCACAGTGGGCCTGTGTTCCAACGTTAGGGCACAGTGGGCCTGTGTTCCAACGTTAGGGCACAGTGGGCCTGTGTTCCAACGTTAGGGCACAGTGGGCCTGTGTTCCAACGTTAGGGCACAGTGGGCCTGTGTTCCAACGTTAGGGCACAGTGGGCCTGTGTTCCAACGTTAGGGCACAGTGGGCCTGTGTTCCAACGTTAGGGCACAGTGGGCCTGTGTTCCAACGTTAGGGCACAGTGGGCCTGTGTTCCAACGTTAGGGCACAGTGGGCCTGTGTTCCAACGTTAGGGCACAGTGGGCCTGTGTTCCAACGTTAGGGCACAGTGGGCCTGTGTTCCAACGTTAGGGCACAGTGGGCCTGTGTTCCAACGTTAGGGCACAGTGGGCCTGTGTTCCAACGTTAGGGCACAGTGGGCCTGTGTTCCAACGTTAGGGCACAGTGGGCCTGTGTTCCAACGTTAGGGCACAGTGGGCCTGTGTTCCAACGTTAGGGCACAGTGGGCCTGTGTTCCAACGTTAGGGCACAGTGGGCCTGTGTTCCAACGTTAGGGCACAGTGGGCCTGTGTTCCAACGTTAGGGCACAGTGGGCCTGTGTTCCAACGTTAGGGCACAGTGGGCCTGTGTTCCAACGTTAGGGCACAGTGGGCCTGTGTTCCAACGTTAGGGCACAGTGGGCCTGTGTTCCAACGTTAGGGCACAGTGGGCCTGTGTTCCAACGTTAGGGCACAGTGGGCCTGTGTTCCAACGTTAGGGCACAGTGGGCCTGTGTTCCAACGTTAGGGCACAGTGGGCCTGTGTTCCAACGTTAGGGCACAGTGGGCCTGTGTTCCAACGTTAGGGCACAGTGGGCCTGTGTTCCAACGTTAGGGCACAGTGGGCCTGTGTTCCAACGTTAGGGCACAGTGGGCCTGTGTTCCAACGTTAGGGCACAGTGGGCCTGTGTTCCAACGTTAGGGCACAGTGGGCCTGTGTTCCAACGTTAGGGCACAGTGGGCCTGTGTTCCAACGTTAGGGCACAGTGGGCCTGTGTTCCAACGTTAGGGCACAGTGGGCCTGTGTTCCAACGTTAGGGCACAGTGGGCCTGTGTTCCAACGTTAGGGCACAGTGGGCCTGTGTTCCAACGTTAGGGCACAGTGGGCCTGTGTTCCAACGTTAGGGCACAGTGGGCCTGTGTTCCAACGTTAGGGCACAGTGGGCCTGTGTTCCAACGTTAGGGCACAGTGGGCCTGTGTTCCAACGTTAGGGCACAGTGGGCCTGTGTTCCAACGTTAGGGCACAGTGGGCCTGTGTTCCAACGTTAGGGCACAGTGGGCCTGTGTTCCAACGTTAGGGCACAGTGGGCCTGTGTTCCAACGTTAGGGCACAGTGGGCCTGTGTTCCAACGTTAGGGCACAGTGGGCCTGTGTTCCAACGTTAGGGCACAGTGGGCCTGTGTTCCAACGTTAGGGCACAGTGGGCCTGTGTTCCAACGTTAGGGCACAGTGGGCCTGTGTTCCAACGTTAGGGCACAGTGGGCCTGTGTTCCAACGTTAGGGCACAGTGGGCCTGTGTTCCAACGTTAGGGCACAGTGGGCCTGTGTTCCAACGTTAGGGCACAGTGGGCCTGTGTTCCAACGTTAGGGCACAGTGGGCCTGTGTTCAAATGTTAGGGCACAGTGGGCCTGTGTTCCAACGTTAGGGCACAGTGGGCCTGTGTTCCAACGTTAGGGCACAGTGGGCCTGTGTCCCAACGTTAGGGCACAGTGGGCCTGTGTTCCAACGTTAGGGCACAGTGGGCCTGTGTTCCAATGTTAGGGCACAGTGGGCCTGTGTTCCAATGTTAGGGCACAGCGGGCCTGTGTTCCAATGTTAGGGCACAGCGGGCCTGTGATCCAACGTTAGGGCACAGTGGGCCTGTGATCCAACGTTAGGGCACAGTGGGCCTGTGTTCCAATGTTAGGGCACAGTGGCCTGTGTTCCAATGTTAGGGCACAGTGGGCCTGTGTTCCAATGTTAGGGCACAGTGGGCTTGTGTTCCTTTCAATATACACAAGTAGTCCCTACAAAATCCTTGTTACCCTTTATTTCCTATTGAACTTGTTAAATGTCTCATTTTTTAAATTTGATTTGTATTTAATTGTTCTTTATTATTCATCAAATTCAGTTTTTTCCTGAACAGGGAGATAATACCTTTTTGGGGACTTTTTATTTTGTGGACAAAATTGTCTTTTGAATTAACCACCGTCTACTGCAGTCCTCGTCAATTTTTCCATTTATTTCTCTGAACTCTTACAATAAATGCGAATTTAAAACAATTATTCAAGTATTTCTTATCCAGTTATGTCATATCATCCCATGTTTTCCATCTATGACCTCTTCCTACTACTGTATAACAGCTAAGGAATTTAAAGGGGAAAAATCTGCCTCACTAGAAAGCTAGCTTTACCAGTGATGTGTTATAACCCAGGGACCCGCTCACTAGTTCAGCAACGTCGAGCGTGGTCAAGTGGTATAACCCAGGGACCCGCTCACTAGTTCAGCAAACTCAAGCGTGGTCAAGTGGTATAACCCAGGGACCCGCTCACTAGTTCACCAACGTCGAGCGTGGTCCCGCTCACTAGTTCAGAAACGTCGAGCATGGTCAAGTGGTATAACTCAGGGACCCGCTCACTAGTGCAGCAACGTCGAGAGTGGTCAAGTGGTATAACTCAGGGACCCGCTCACTAGTCCAGCAAACTCAAGCGTGGTCAAATGGTATAACCCAGGGACCGCCTCACTGGTTCAGCAACGTCGAGCGGGGTCAAGCGGTATAACCCAGGGACCGCCTCACTGGTTCAGCAACGTCGAGAGTGGTCAAACTGTATTACCCAGGGACCCGTTCCCTAGTTCAGCAACGTCGAGAATGGTTAAACGGTATTACCCAGGGACCCGCTCACGAGTTCAGCAATGTCGAGCATGGTCAAGTGGTATAACTCAGGGACCCGCTCACTAGTTCAGCACCGTCGAGAGTGGTCAAACTGTATTACCCAGGGACCCGTTCCCTAGTTCAGCAACGGCGAGCGGGGTCAAACGGAATTACCCAGGGACCCGCTCACTAGTTCAGCAACGTCGAGCATGGTCAAGTGGTATAACCCAGGGACCCGTTCACTAGTTCAGCAACGTCGAGCGTGGTCAAGCAGTATAACCCAGGGACCCGCTTACTAGTTCAGCAACGTCGAGCGTGGTCAAGTGGTATAACCCAGCGACCCGCTCACTAGTTCACCAACGTCGAGCGGGGTCAAGCGGTATAACCCAGGGACCCGCTCACTAGTTCAGCAACATCGAGCATGGTCAAGTGGTATAACCCAGGGACCCGGGGGCTAGTTCAGCAACGTCGAGCGTGGTCAAGCGGTATTACCCAGGGACCCGCTCACTAGTTCAGCAACGTCGTGCGTGGTCAAGTGGTATAACCCAGGGACCGCTCACTAGTTCACCAACGTCGAGCGTGGTCAAGCGGTATAACCCGGGGACCCGCTTACTAGTTAAGCAACGTCGAGCGTGGTCAAGTGGTATAACCCAGGGACCCGCTCACTAGTTCACCAACGTCGAGCGTGGTCAAGCGGTATAACCCAGGGACCCCCTCACTATTCAGCAACGTCGAGCGTGGTCAAGTGGTATAACCCAGGGACCCGCTCACTAGTTCAGCAACGTCGAGCGTGGTCAAGGGGTATAACCCAGGGACCCGCTCACTAGTTCAGCAACGTCGAGCGTGGTCAAGCGGTATTACCCAGGGACCCGCTCACTTGTTCAGCAACGTCGAGCGTGGTCAAGCATTACCCAGGGACCCGCTCACTAGTTCAGCAACGTCGAGCGTGGTCAAGCGGTATTACCCAGGGACCCGCTCACTAGTTCAGCAACGTCGAGCATGGTCAAGCATCACCCAGGGACCCGCTCACTAGTTCAGCAATGTCGAGGGTGGTCAAGCGTTATAACCCAGGGACCCGCTCACTAGTTCAGCAACGTCGAACGTGCTCAAGTGGTATAACCCAGGGACCCACTCACTAGTTCAGCAACATCGAGCGTGGTCAAGCAGTATAACCCAGGGACCCGCTCACTAGTTCAGCAACATCGAGCGTGGTCAAGCAGTATAACCCAGGGACCCGCCCACTAGTTCAGCAACGTCAAGCGGGGTCAAGTGGTATAACCCAGGGACCCGCTCACTAGTTCACCAACGTCGAGCGTGGTCAAGCAGTATAACCCAGGGACCCGCCCACTAGTTCAGCAACGTCAAGCGTGGTCAAGTGGTATAACCCAGGGACCCGCTCACTAGTTCCCCAACGTCGAGCGTGGTCAAGCAGTATAACCCAGGGGCCCGCTCACTAGTTCAGCAACGTCGAGCGTGGTCGAGCAGTATAACCCAGGGACCCGCGCACTAGTTCAGCAATGTCGAGCGTGGTCAAGCAGTATAACCTAGGGACCCACTCACTAGTTCACCAACGTCGAGCGTTGTCAAGCGGTATTATCCAGGGACCCGCTCACTAGTTCAACAACGTCGAGCGTGGTCAAGCGATATTACCCAGGGACCCGCTCCCTAGTTCAGCAATGTCGAGCGTGGTCGAGCAGTAGGTATTACCCAGGGACCCGCTCACTAGTTCACCAACGTCGAGCGTGGTCAAGCGATATTACCCAGGGACCCGCTCACTAGTTCAGCAATGTCGAGCGTGGTCAAGCAGTATAACCCAGGGACCCACTCACTAGTTCACCAACGTCGAGCGTGGTCAAGCGGTATTATCCAGGGACCCGCTCACTAGTTCACCAACGTCGAGCGTGGTCAAGCGGTATTACCCAGGGACCCGCTCACTAGTTCAGCAACGTTGAGCGTGGTCAGTAGCTGGATGGCTGACCACCAGCACAAGACTTTTCAGAAGGGGGAATAGTGTATACTTATATATAATTAACAGCTATGGAATCTGAACGGAAAATACTGCCTCACTGGCAGACTAGCTCTTCCAGTAGTATGGTATAACCTGAGCAACCTGCTTACTAGTTCAGCAAGAGTGGTCAGTAGCTGGATGGCTGACCACCCACATTTTACACTACTCTGTTACATATTAGTTAAACCAAAACCCCTAAACAACATCTATTATTTGATAAGAAGTGATTAATACACCATCAGTTGTCCTGTAATAAACTCAATATTCAGCAAAGACCGGCCAATGAGAGCCCTGCATCCGATAGTGTCACATACATGCCTGATTTCCTGGGAGACCAATCTTTGAGTTTATTACCTTCATCAGATTAAAGGAAATTTGGGTCCAAATAAGGGATGAGCAGCGTATTTCATTGCGTAAAATCCTAGTATTTTATTCCACTATAGTTCTATGAAATAGGGTACAAAATAATAGTTTTTGCATATGATAATAAGAAGCATTAACAGAGTATCACACAGTTGAGATATCAGACTGAAGAAGCAGATTTTAAAATGAAATTAAGTTTGACAGGTTTAAAGCATGCTGTCATTCTTTTGCTGTTCATTGTCAGATCAATATGTACAATAAATACATAACTGTAACACTAATAGAATAAAAGTAATGACTGCATGTAATCTAAGGAATACTGTGAATATGATCTGGGAAACTGCAAAAAAGTTTAACTGGGATTACTAAACATAAACACAACAACAGCTGTAAAATGTAAACAACTGTTTGGGTAGACATCTAAACTAATAGTGGTTAAGAGCTCAGAAAGAAACCTCTTCTGTCCCATCGGTTTCTGTGTGTATCTGGACTGTCACTATGTGTACGAGGTAGCGTACTAGGACAATCAACCTGTGGCTGTCAACATCTAAACATGCTTACCTGTGTCAGCATGTGTACATACATCTGTCAATCGCCATGTTCCATTTACCCGCGGAAACTCAAAACGAGGCTGGTGGGGAATTCCAAAAAACTACACAAAAATTTGCGGTGGTGCAAGAAAGATAACTCGAACAGTTTAGGTCTCGCACAAGATGTCAAAATTGTCATGAATCAAGAAAAATGTTTGACAGCGATTAATTAAACTACGCACAACAGTGCAACATACTTTTGACGTCATTTCGTTTTAGATTTGCTTCAAAAAGCTGCGTCAGGGAACTTGCCAATGCATGTTTTTTTCACTTAAGAAAGCAGATGTATCATTTCATTCGATCACTGGTCCCTTCAGCTAAATATCTGGGCATCAAGCAAACTTAAAATGGTCAATACAGACAACATCATAGCTAATGGCAGCAAATATTTAGGCTTCCTAAAAGGAAATTTAAAAACATCATGTCAGAACATCAAGACTCAGGCATATCTGGCGCTAGTTCGACCAAAACTGGAATATTCATGTACAATATGCATGGGACCCTCACACAGTTGAACAAACTTCTAAAATCGAGATGGTCCAACGACGAGCTGCCAGATATGTCTGTAACAGGTACCATAACATCAGTAGTCCTACAGATATGATAAATTCATTAAACTGGCCAACACTACAAGAAAGAAGACTCCGCACAAAATTAATAATGTTCTACAAAATAGTCTATCAAATTGTAGCAATCCCATCTGCTATTCTCATACCATCAGACAGTAGAACCCGCAAAAAATCATAATTTCACTTGCAGACACATTTCAACCAAAAAAAGATGCTTTAAAATTTTCATTTTTTTCCTTATACCATAACTCAATGGAATTTATTACCAATCCATACAGTCACTGTCACAACAGTCGACACTTTCAGAGAACAGCTCACACCAGCTGTTCTCCACAAATTCATTTATTTTTTACAAGCCTATGTACATAGTTTTAATCACAATTTGAAATGTATGCACTCCAAATTCATTTTCATTATTTTGGTATTCTTGTAAATATATATATAGGCCACGCTGCGCAAAACAGTAAATAATCCTCAGATCATTGAAGGACAACTGATAACCTAAAGAAAAAGAAGAAAGTCACAAATAAGGTATATTTTCTTAAAAAGTCGCATTTTACGGACCGTTACTTAACGGCTAGACCCAGTAATATCTAAATTCTCCAAATACTGTCGCTCCAATTTCTATAAACCTTTGCAGATCGTTTGAATAGATTAAGAACTTGCACCAAACCGAATACAGGCAAACGACATAACACATTCATCTAGAAATCATATTGCGAATGAACGGACATTTTGAACAACTAAAAACACTACACAAATGATACAAGTGGGTTTCCTGTATTTTTTGCAACATTAAAAAATGATATAGACTTTCAAGTATCATATATTATTGCCGTAATTACAAGTCTTAAAAAATTGATGGGAAAATATGACGTTGCATGCTTTATGACGTCATAGTTATGATGATTCCAGCGTGGGCCGAACTTATCCCAGACCGCACGTTCGAACAGGCACGGGGCACAATCGACCATCCAATATTCCGATAGACAAAGACAAATAATTCTTCGGATATAGACGTGTATAGCGATTTTTTTATTATTTCGTGTAATTTCTCTTTCAAATGGTTATATGCACACATACATTTCAACAAACACCATACTGCCCAGAACGACTTTAATAAATCTGGGCCGGACTTTCCCCAGTATCCTCTAAACACAAAAACAAACATCATATCGAGAACAACGATTAATCAGAATGTAGGTCAAATAGTTCATTTTGAACTTTTATTTAGCACTAACATCTGATGGATTAGGGTTTTGGTCAGTGAGGCTTAGATTTGATGACGTGTCCGACACCAGTATGACGTAGATCTGTACTTTTACGTACTATTCGTGTCAAAGTTGACCATGGCAAGATCGGTCCCGGATTAGGTCCGGCCATCCCTCATATTTTCGGTCTTTAGCATATATTTTCATTTTTGATGATTTCAGCGGTTAGGTTGGCTATATAGGACATTCACATCGAAAGAAGACTCATTCATAAAATTATTAAAAGAGAGAAAGATACTTTTGGGAGGGAGAAAGACCTTGCTGTTTTCTAGTTTTGCGAACTTTCTGTAAACCAAATTGCTACTTTCGTATTGATGTAATATAGGAATTTAATGAAATGTCTATTCTGAGCAGGTTCGGGCCATGATACCGGGGCAAGTTATATAAAATGTCGGGAAATTGGTGGGGAAATCTGACGTTGCATGCTTTATGACGTCATAATTGTGATAACCGAACTTAATTGCCCAAGGCCGGGCACGTACGACCATCCAATCTTCCGATAAAAGAAGATATAAATATTTGTTCAGATATGGACGTTTTAGTCCTTTTTATCATCATTTTATGAAAGGCATGGAATTTCTCTTTCAAATGGTGTAAAAATTTATACATAGGTCTAAATTTCAACAAATGCTATATGTATTACCCAAAACGACTATATAGCCACTTTAAATAAGCAAAATGGGCCGAACTTGCCCCGGTCTCCCCTAAACTGTGTCGATATGGCATTTACAGTCTATATGAACGACACAACTTTGCAAATCATAATAGACTCTATGACATATCTTATGACATAGTTCAATGCTACCATTTTGGGGATATTTTAAAAGCATATAAATTGAATTTTATTGAATAAAATCCAGCTATTTGTTCAAATTAATGTACGCACTGCATGCGTATGCTTGTTCGATGAATAAAAAGGCCATCTTCCTCTGAGGGACAGTAGTCTCACAGTTATGACATCATTATAATGTATATGATGTTAACACGTGAGCCCGCGTAGCATTCACATTATATATTTAAATACTGATGACGTACCAAGCCTGCCGGGATACGACAGTATCGATATATATGTGGACAATATTAAAAAAAAGTTTTTATTTAATTAACATGAGTTAGGATAACAAGGAATATTAGATTATTTTAAAGTATAACTGTATTTTTTTACAAGAAATTTCGTTTTCTATTAAATTAAACCCTGTATGTGCATCTACCGTAGCGTTCATGATTAATAACATCTTATCTCCTCCAGGTCTCATTAATCTACACAACATCCTTATCTGGGAAATCAGTGAGTACATTATTACACAATAGGTTATCGGGGTACCCGAGTGCAACTTTCTTGTGGCAGCAGACTCACTTGCTAGTTGCGCATGTCGGATGACCTTAATAGAAAGGTCATATATATTTTGCTGGAGACACTCGTTGTAGTCCCTACAATGATAGGGGATTGGCGACAATCTCGCCACAGGATGGCTACGGACACAAGTCTACGATAACTAGGTTGCCAACGTAAATTGGTAGCTCTGATTTGGTCATTAAGTTGACGTACGTTTGGCAGAATGGACGGGAGAACGCGATGGCTGTCTTTGTTGGCGATCAGCTGTGCGTTTGTGTATTGGGTGCCTGTGAATGCCCATGTTTCGGAGGGACAAGAATCAAACAACGAAACAGAACGATACCAGCTAGTTGTGTTCGACTTTGCCAGAGTGGAACTACCTTATGTGATTTGTCTGTGGATTCTTATTGTTAGCTTGGCCAGAATAGGTAAAAAAGACCGGGTGACACCTGTGAGATTGGTGTAAGAAATGGGGGGGGGGGGTCAATGCTATCTGAAAATGTGAAAAACCTTTCTTTCAACTACACCAATTTAAAACGGTACCGTATATATCCCGTTACAGTTTCTAAATATCCATATCAACATATTTGGGGAAAACAGTTTTCATAGAAAGCAATAATCTGCTCTAACCACAATATAACCATGAAATTAGTCCTTGATATAACAGATATACTGTAAGACAAAAGAAATGTAAGTAGTGTGTTTAGATTTTGAAAGAGTTTAATTCACTAAATACATCCCCGCCATATAGTATAGTTGTCTTAGATTATAATTATATATAAACCTGTGGTTTACTGGTTATTGATTGTTTAAAGGAGTGACATATTTTCTAACACATGTGGTATATATGCCGCCTACGTATCTACTACAAACAAGCTACATACTGAAATACAATACAATCTATAATCATGTTATTTCCCCATAATAATATTGTGACGTACATCAACAACCCACCTGGCCATCTACGCTCAGCTGGATTGACAAATCTATAAAAGGGATTCAATAGAATCGCACAAGAATACCTGGGTAATCATATAAATGACGATTTTATAGTCTTTGTGAAACTGTGGATACTCTTGCGGCAATCTTGTAAAAAGAAAATTCTAAAAATCCATTAGTGATTTCATGTCTGCATTCATTGATTGGACCAAATCTTCCATTGTAATTAGGCAAACATTTTTATGTATTAATAGTTATAGGCAATTAAGGATGTTAAATAATACTGATTTGACAGATAAACCCATTTATTACCATAGGCATTAAAAATCTGCTGTTTATTTTTAATAAAGAAATTTGAAGTTTAAAGGAATAAATAGTTTCATCAAATCCATGTTTAGTCCCTAAAATTGAGCATTTTCAAACAGAGAATTTCCTGAACTATTCCTGTTTTCTAATAAAAATATAAGCTCTGATGATTCCATCTGAAAGAAATGCCCTAAAGATGCCATTTTAATGTTCTTTTTTCCCTAGGGTACACAAACACATTTTTATGCTTTAAATACAAGCAGGGGTAATCTCCCTCCTGGAAATCGCAAAAAGTTGGCAAGTATGATGGTCCTGAAAACCTTGAATACATTTGAAATATAAAAAAAGATAACAAAATATTAAGTCCATTCTATTAATATTGATCAGGGTAATTGAGAACCCGCTATAATAATCTCTCCGCTGAATATTTTCATTTTGTAATACATGTATATGGTGAAGTTGAGGTCACATCTATCTCTTCCCTTTGAAATTTGTGTATCAATAACATGATCTCCATAAATATCAGGAAGTTAAAAACAAAATGATTATTTTTTTCTCCAACTAGTAGCAGTACAGATACAATATGTTCATACATATATGTACCGTAAATCTTGTAATTATCTGACGTCCAGACTTTACACCTGTGATACACAGGTGAGAAATATGTAATTATCTGTCAAGTGACACAGTGACACCTGTTCCAGGAATAGATAAGATTAATGCTAGGAACATGAAAGGTCAGGGATAAATCATGTGATATTTGTGGAATAAGTGGTAAGTGGAAAGGTTATTTTACAAACCATATATATAAGATCTTAGTCTGGACCAAGCAAACTGTTTTTCAGATAGGGGTAATAAAGTAATGCCAGTTTGGGGAAATGGTATTGAATTCTATATTAATGTCAGGAAAATATTTGACATATATATATACATTCAATTTTAAATAATACAAAAAAAAAATGCTAAATTTTTAAAAACAATATTCATGTTTTTGAAAATTGGGTAAAAGAGGCTTGATGGTATTTTAAAATTCAGTTACAACAGTTATTGACATGGATAAAAGCAGCCAGGTGAATTGGTTTGGTATGTAGCCAGGTGAATTGGTTTGGTATGTAGTCAAATTTGTTCATATTGTACCAGTAATATCTACATCAAAACATTTAAGAAATACACTAATCTGTTATCAGGACTGTTTTTTCCGCAATGTTGTATTTCTCACTCCAACTCGCTCCTGGTTCCAGAATACAAGTTCAAGTGAAACATCTAGATTATTTTGTAAACTGGAAACCTCTCTATTCTGATCTAAGATTTATAATATATTTACCGTTGATGATGGTTTACGTTGATTTTAGTGTATACAATGAGCTGGGATGTGATTACAGTTCCTGAGGAATACACGTGTAGAATATTAGATTCTTGTGGTCAATATCAGCTTTAGAAACTGGAAAATGTCAAATAGATATGTTATGATATAAACCTAGCTTTGAATTCATTAAAACCAATAAATTAAAACTGCAGCCTGGAGTTGGAGACATGTAAACAATCGCTGTGGTTGACCACGAGGGTTAGCTCTGTTGACAGTCGCTGAGGGATTAATTGGTTGGGAATTATCTGCTGAGCAATACAAAGATGTTGATAAATATTGAGGATCTACCAATAGACTAATAACTTAAGACTTTTGAACTTCAGACCACAGAGATAAACCAAATAATTTCACTTCTGGTACATCCCGTTGGTCTGACGTGACAACAGAGGAATTTGTCTATCTGGTCAGCCAGAGTGTTTACTTTGTCCTATAACTAGGTCATCTACGATACTGGCCTAATAACTCCAGCCAAACCAAACCCATTTGTTGTTTACCAATACAGTAAAATGATGGCAAGCAAGGTTTTTTGACAAATAAGGATTGAACAGCGTTTTTTCAACTCAACTTGGTATAAATGGTAGGTGTAGCCCCCCTGGGGGCAGAGGGCCGGGGCCCAATAGGGGAAATAAAGGTAAAACTTTTAAAATCCTTCTTCTACCGTACAGATTAAGGTATTTTATCCTAATTTAGTCTGGAACGTCCTAGGGCCAAGGGGACTCAATTTTGTATAAATGGTGGGTGTGGCCCCCCTTGGGGCAGAGGGGCGGGGTCCAATAGGGGAAATAGAGGTAAAACCTTTAAAAACCTTTAGGTATTTTATCCTAATTTAGTCTGGAGCATCCTTGGGCCAAGGGGACTCTATTTTGTATAAATGGTGGGTGTGGCCCCCCGTGGGGCAGAGCCGTTTAGGGGAAATAGAGGTAAAACCTTCAAAATCCTTCTCCTACCGTAGGGATAAAGGGATTTTATCCTTACTCAGTCCGGAGCATCCTTGGGCCAGGGGGAATCAATTTTGTGTAAATGGTGGGTCTGGCCCCCCTGGGGGCTGAGGGGCATGGCCCAATAGGGGAAATATAGCAAATTCTTTAAAATCCTTCTTCTTCTGAAGGAATGAAAGGATTTGGTCCATATTTGGTGTTGAGCATCCTTGGGTGAAGAGGAACCAATTTTGTATAAGCAATGGGTGTGGTCTCCCAGGGGGCAGAAGGGCGGGGCCAACGCAAATCGGTTACATCCATATTGCATGGAGCCTGCTAGGGCTTCATGTTTAATATGGTTGTTACGGATTTGCGTTCATACCGGCATGAAAGGTTAAAAAAACACACTGTTCAATCCATATATTTACATTTTTACTATAGAACAATGTGTTTCTCCCCTTAAAGTGGTTCAGTTTCTACTAAATTCTGTGTTTACGTACATAATGGCAAGTGTCAGACTAAGTTCAATCGCCGATATAATGGAGGCATACTATTTAAGTAGATATAATGGAGGCATACTATTTAAGTAGATATAAAGGAGGCATATTATTTAAGTAGATATAATGGAGGCATACTATTTAAGTAGATATAATGGAGGCTACTATTTAAGTAGATATAATGGAGGCATACTATTAGTTTCAACCAAATTAAGTGTGTAGATCCATATTCTAGTATGCATGTAACATATATGCAAATTCTACGCTACCTATATCTACACCAAACTTCAACAACTGGACCACAGCGCTCACTGTCCTGAAAGTGGGGATATAAATTCACAGAATTTGCTTATTTTTGACAGCACAGTACGTGATGAATTCTCTTGCCGCTTTATAATTGATTTTATTTTACATACAAACATCTGTAACATGCCCAATTTGATATGGACAAGTAATGATGTATCACCAAGATATTAGGGTTTGATTTAGCCTGAGCCCACTCCGCTGTAGATGACTAAGTATTGAGCTATAATAAAGATTACAGTTTGTACGTTTCTATTCATTTCGTATGTTTCAGCATTCCATCTACACCACAAGCTACCCACAGTTATTCCTGAGAGTTGTCTCCTCATTGTTCTCGGCCTCATCGTTGGTGCTATCCTCCACTACAGCCATGTTGCCACTACCAGCGATTATGTCCTTGATGCCAACATATTTTTCATCTACCTGCTTCCTCCCATCATCTTTGAGGCAGGCTACTTCATGCCCGTTCGTTCTTTCTTTGACAATCTCGGTACCATCCTACTTATGGCAGTGGTCAACACGTGTATCAGTTCTGGCCTCATCGGAGTATCCTTGTACGGCCTGTCCTGCTGGGGGCTGTTCGGCCGTAACATCAGCCTCCTTAGTTGTTTCATTTTTAGCAGCCTTATATCTGCGGTAGATCCAGTTGCTGTCCTTTCAATTTTTGAAGAAGTCCATGTCAATCAGATGCTTTACATCATTGTGTTTGGTGAATCACTCCTTAACGACGGCGTAACTGTGGTATGTATATTTATGTAAAAACAGGTCAATTTCTTGTTTACAGTTAAAAAATGTAATGTTTCTTGTTTACTTATTTGATTATCACATATTCATTACTGAAAATCTGTCCAAAAAACTAAGAAAATTCTGTGGAATGTCATTATAAGGGTTTTGTACCTTAGACTTGAAACATACACATGGCAATAAAGAGTCAGTTCCTTAGTACTACAGAGACATGGCAATAAAGGGTGAGTTCCCTAGTACTACAGAGACATCAATAAAGGTTGCAATTGAGTTCCTTAGTACTACAGAGACATCAATAAAGGGTCAGTTCCTTAGTACTACAGAGACATCAATAAAGGGTGAGTTCCCTAGTACTACAGAGACATTAATAAAGGGTGAGTTCCTTAGTACTACAGAGACATCAATAAAGGGTCAGTTCTTTAGTACTACAGAGACATCAATCGTTCTAGGTTCCTTAGTACTTCAGAGACATCAATAAAGGGTCAGTTCCTTAGTACTACAGAGACATCAATCGTTCTAGGGTCCTCAGTACTACAGAGAAATCAATCGTTCTAGGTTCCTTAGTACTACAGAGATATCAATAAAGAGTCAGTTCCTTAGTACTACAGAGACATCAATCGTTCTAGGTTCCTCAGTACTACAGAGAAATCAATCGTTCTAGGTTCCTTAGTACTACAGAGATATCAATAAAGAGTCAGTTCCTTAGTACTACAGAGACATCAATCGTTCTAGGTTCCTTAGTACTACAGAGACATCAATCGTTCTAGGTTCCTCAGTACTACAGAGAAATCAATCGTTCTAGGTTCCTTAGTACTACAGAGACATCAATCGTTCTAGGTTCATTAGTACTACAGAGATATCAGTAAAGGGTGAGTTCCTTAGTACTACAGAGACATCAATCGTTCTAGGTTCATTAGTACTACAGAGATATCAGTAAAGGGTGAGTTCCTTAGTACTACAGAGACATCAATCGTTATAGGTTCCTTAGTACTACAGAGACATCAATAAAGGGGCAGGTCCTTAGTACTGCAGAGACATCAATCGTTCTAGGTTCCTTAGTACTACAGTGACATCAATCGTTCTAGGTTCCTTAGTACTACAGAGACCATACACATGGCAATAAAGAGTCAGTTCCTTAGTACTACAGAGACATGGAAATAAAGGGTGAGTTCCCTAGTACTACAGAGACATCAATAAAGGTTGCAATTGAGTTCCTTAGTACTACAGAGACATCAATAAAGTGTCAGTTCCTTAGTACTACAGAGACATCAATCGTTATAGGTTCCTTAGTACTACAGAGACATCAATAAAGTGTCAGTTCCTTAGTACTACAGAGACATCAATAAAGAGTACTACAGAGACATCAATAAAGGGTCAGTTCTTTAGTACTACAGAGACATCAATAAAGGGTGAGTTCCCTAGTACTACAGAGACATCAATAAAGGTTGCAATTGAGTTCCTTAGTACTACAGAGACATCAATAAAGAGTCAGTTCCTTAGTACTACAGAGACATGGCAATAATGGGTGAGTTCCCTAGTACTACAGAGACATCAATAAAGGTTGCAATTGAGTTCCTTAGTACTACAGAGACATCAATAAAGGGGCAGTTCCTTAGTACTACAGAGACATCAATCGTTATAGGTTCCTTAGTACTACAGAGACATCAATAAAGAGTCAGTTCCTTAGTATTACAGAGACATCAATAAAGGGTCAGTTCCTTAGTACTACAGAGACATCAATAAAGAGTCAGTTCCTTAGTATTACAGAGACATCAATAAAGGGTCAGTTCCTTAATACTACAGAGACATCAATCGTTCTAGGTTCCTCAGTACTACAGAGAAATCAATCGTTCTAGGTTCCTTAGTACTACAGAGACCATACACATGGCAATAAAGAGTCAGTTCCTTAGTACTACAGAGATATGGCAATAAAGGGTGAGTTCCCTAGTACTACAGAGACATCAATAAAGGTTGCAATTGAGTTCCTTAGTACTACAGAGACATCAATAAAGTGTCAGTTCCTTAGTACTACAGAGACATCAATAAAGGGGCAGGTCCTTAGTACTGCAGAGACATCAATCGTTCTAGGTTCCTTAGTACTACAGTGACATCAATCGTTCTAGGTTCCTTAGTACTACAGAGACATCAGTCGTTCTAGGTTCTTTAGTACTACAGAGACATCAATCGTTCTAGGGTCCTCAGTACTACAGAGAAATCAATCGTTCTAGGTTCCTTAGTACTACAGTGACATCAATCGTTCTAGGTTCCTTAGTACTACAGTGACATCAATCGTTCTAGGTTCCTTAGTACTACAGAGACCATACACATGGCAATAAAGAGTCAGTTCCTTAGTACTACAGAGACATCAATCGTTCTAGGTTCCTTAGTACTACAGAGATATCAGTAAAGGGTGAGTTCCTTAGTACTACAGAGACATCAATCGTTCTAGGTTCCTTAGTACTACAGAGACATCAATCGTTCTAGGTTCCTTAGTACTACAGAGACATCAATCGTTCTAGGTTCCTTAGTACTACAGAGACATCAATCGTTCTAGGTGCTGTACCACATGATGGAGGGATTTATAGAGATTGGAGAGGATAAATTAATTGCGATTGACGTCGCCACGGGCCTCAGTTCTTTCTTTGTGATAGCGCTTGGAGGGACCCTGATTGGGATCCTGTTTGGACTGTTCGGAGGTTTCATCACTAAATACACCCAACATGTGACAGTGATTGAACCACTGTTTGTCTTTGTCCTCGGCTACCTGATGTATCTTACCTCGGAAATGTGTCATCTGTCTGGAATTCTGGCGTGAGTAGATAAACGTGGTCTCAGATAGACAAAGCTACCGACAGAATGACGATTTACATGATTCAGTTGATGAAGTCATTCTGATCTTGATATTTTAGATAATAAATTCTGTATTCAAAAGTACCACATTTAAAATAATATATTTAGACATGCTAGTTTAAGAATACAGTTTCCCTAAATTTAGCTGATGCAAATGTTTTCATTGTTTTACTTGAAAAATGTAATAAATAGAAAACTTAATGGTTTTCCAATTAAATATCATATATATATATATATACCCGGTATATATATCACTGGTATGGCAGAGTATCGGTTTCTCTCGTACCTCAGGCTTGTGAAAAATATTGGTATTTTGCCATATTCGTGAAATATTTTGGTATTCAACGTGAAACCATTAAATATACTCAATTTACTATATTTATAAAAACTACATGTACCTGGTACCTTTAATGGTTGTGGTGTTTTACATATAGTGGTTAACTATTTATATTTCAGGTTGTCGTTTGGAGGAATTGTCCTCCGCCATTACCTAGAGGCAAATATTTCACGCAAAACCAAAACCAGCATTAAGTATTTCATGAAGATGTTGGCAAACATCAGCGAGACGATTATCTTCATGTTCCTGGGTCTCTCGACAATGGTAGACACCCTAGATTGGAATCTCAGCTTCATTCTATTTGCTCTGCTCTTCTGCCTGTTATACAGGGCCTTAGGTAAGTTTTTCCCGATGAATGTTTTGAAATTGATAGGTTTTAGTCACATATCTGATGTACACACTATTGACAAAAGGGAGATAACTGTGTGCTGTTTGTTGTCATGTCATCCTCTTCCCGTGTGTGGTGGATATTGCTCCCCTCCTTTAAGATGGGTTTTATTAACTAATCTATTTTAACAGATCATTGAATAAATAGTTCTCATATAATACTATTGAATTAATAAAAACAGATATAAAGTATGTAGACAGTATTCATATTTTGAAACAAACTTCTTTCTCAAAATGTGAAGATTTCTTTTAGATCTAATTGTAAATGCGACCAATATTCGTGCCATAGATATTATGGCAGGAAACGGCGTATCAGGGGCTACTCACTCTATAACAAACCTACTAATAGTAACAAATTCTTTTCAAAAGATTTTAAAGGGAGCTAGACTCTGCGAAGTCACAGAGAAACTTGATAAAGAGCGCGAGCTAGACTCCCCTGTTACACTGAATACTTTATGAATGCCATGTAAATATGAAAAAACTGTTTTCTATTATTGCATCGCAACAAAGTATAACATAAAACTTAACAATCATTTAAAGGTATTTGCTTAATATGCGTAAGATTATCAAATTGATTTCTTCATTCACGCAAGAATATAATGTAGGAATGTACAGTTTCTGTGAATGCTATTTGTTCCAGGTGTGATAATTCTATCATTCATCCTGAACCGCCGTCGTCTGGTGAAATTGACAGGGATCGACCAGTTTATCATGGCCTATGGTGGTCTCCGAGGTGGTATCGCCTTCTGTCTCTCTCTGTCCCTAAAGGAGGAGTTGGTTCCCGAGAAACGCCTCTTCATCACAGCGACCATCATCATAGTGTTCTTCACTGTGTTCGTACAGGTATGGTCTGGGATTATACAGAATATAATGATAATGTAGGATTATAGCAGTGGTTTAGTATGACTGAAGAACAGGGATCAGTTGTAGGTTGGAGTTTGGAAAACACACCAAATAGAGATTAGTGCAGGTTGAGTGGGGGAAGGGGTGTACTAACTCGTTAGATAAACATCAAGTCTTGTAATATTTATTAGTATTAGCAGCCCCTTGTAGAGACATTGTTTTTAACCTAGTAAGTCTGTATGTTTGGATATTTCAGGGTATCACCATCAACCTAGTAAGTCTGTATGTTTGGATATTTCAGGGTATCACCATCAACCTAGTAAGTCTGTATGTTTGGATATTTCAGGGTATCACCATCAACCTAGTAAGTCTGTATGTTTGGATATTTCAGGGTATCACCATCAACCTAGTAAGTCTGTATGTTTGGATATTTCAGGGTATCACCATCAACCTAGTAAGTCTGTATGTTTGGATATTTCAGGGTATCACCATCAACCTAGTAAGTCTGTATGTTTGGATATTTCAGGGTATCACCATCAACCTAGTAAGTCTGTATGTTTGGATATTTCAGGGTATCACCATCAACCTAGTAAGTCTGTATGTTTGGATATTTCAGGGTATCACCATCAACCTAGTAAGTCTGTATGTTTGGATATTTCAGGGTATCACCATCAACCTAGTAAGTCTGTATGTTTGGATATTTCAGGGTATAACCATTAAGCCTGTGGTGAATGCTCTTAAAGTCAAGAAAGAAAAAGAAGGTGACCCATCACTTCATGAGAAAATCAATGAAACGGTAAGTGAACAATACCAGTAGTGGTGGGTTGTGTAGTAGACAACTCGGCCAGACTAGATGTTTTCTTTGGCGGGTTTGTCTTGAAGTTAGGTAGTCTATTAGTATGTTGAACAACATAAGAATATTGTAAGTGTCTTGTTTAAAACATGAATATATCATGAATTCAATCCTAACTTACGCAATAGGTAAAATAGATAATCTTAACTCACCTTTAAAATTCTTATGGTAACAATCTAATATTCAAATTCAAATTTGTAATTTATTTTTGTTAAAAAACAAGTTAATTTTAACCTTTGACCTTAATATAGTTCATCGACCACTTGATGGCAGGCATTGAAGGTGTAACTAAGCGATCAGGACACAATTTGATGCGGAGCAAGTAAGTCAAGCAACAAAGAATACGATAGTACTTTTATAATAATCAGATCACACGTCTTGTGATAGAGTCATAGGCACTGTGTTGACACTTCTGAGATGAACTTAAAATTCAAAATATGAACAGTTCAGGGAACAGAATATTTGAACAATGGACAAGGAGTGGCCCAAAAAAAAAATGTATTTGAATCAAATTTAACAAAATATATAACATGTAGTATAAATGATATAAACTGTCTTTTTTCAAGATTGGCCCTGGCCTTGGGAAAATACCATCTTCCTTAATTTTACCTCAATGTGGTAAAATAATTGCTGCAGCCTCGATGTGATATTATTCTCTGTAGAAGTAACTGCCTGTAGGATACTCCACTTCAAAGTTATCATTATTATTAAAGCGGTCCATATTTTAATTGATTTATGTCTTTGTACCATAACCCAACCTAATAAGTAATGTCTATTTTTGTTGTGTTAAAGGTTCCGTCATATTAACCACAAGTATATCAAGCCATGGCTAAATCGTGAGTCGGTCAAACTGACCACTACCAAGGCTGACAAGGTCCTGGACATCTTCCACAGTATCAGTGTCCAGGATGCCCTTCATCAGATGGGAGATGGTGAGGCTGTGGAGGTCGTAGGAGGTCACAAGCTCCCTCTGTTGTCAGCAGAGTAAGTTATCTCCCTTGGAGAAAAGTTTATCATTCCTTTTTCTAGTCACCTGAATCTTTTCCTGTTTGTTACATGAAGTGATGCCATCAGTTCCCTCTTGTTAGTAGAGTTATCTCCTCTCATAAGACTGACTCAACAACTTCAATTTACAATCGCATACAATTGTTTGAAGAGATAAACTCCCTCTTGCCTTTAGAGTTTCCTCCCCTTGATGAGACCCCCTCGCCCAACCTCCATCCAACATATCTTTTACGCATCATTTTCACTTAAAATACTTATTTTACATGCATTTACATTAAGCATCAATAGCAAACTGAAGTGTCACAAATGATAATTTGATACATAACACAGAACACACATATTGAGTGAAATGAGAATTATTGTTTTTTTGATCAAGTGCAAAAAGGTAGGCAGTGGTGGATCCAGAGGTTTTTTTGGGGCTTCAGGAAAAAAACAAAAACTGAATTTTCTTAAAAAATCATGTATTTTCATCAGTTTCCTCAATTTTTCCCCACATAGAACCCCTCCCCCCCACCCCCCCTGGAACTTTGGAATCACCCCCCAGATAGGTCTCTAGATTTGCCACTGGTAGGGTAACTAAATAATTGTTCCCAAAAATAAAGTTATCTATTCTAGATAGAAATTCTGTTATACCAATTCTAGATGGTATGAGGCATTATTGCAAGACTGATTTTGCACATGGGGTCATACAATAAATCTGGTTAACAGATAGCTGACTGGAAGTCTCAGGTTTTTTTTATTGTGAATTTAATTAGAAATCAATGAAGTCATTACGTTTTTTGTTGAAATGTTTAAGTAATAAATCTAAAATCTGCAATATTCTTTTCAGGTCTAGAATGAATGGTTACCATCAGGACAATGCAAAAAATGGTAGAATTGTGCCTTCCTTAAACACTGAGAAAGATGCACACCTTCACCGCCTTCTCAACGAAGGCATGCTCAGAACAAGGACCACAGTAAGTACTTTTCTAGCACATTCTGGCCCCGTATTCATGAAATCGTTCTCATGCTCAATCTTGGACTCTGTGCTCAAACCTAATTTATTGTGTCGCCTACGACCGATATCGGAAAGACACATAGGCGTTGCTTTTCCGACGGCGTCGTCAACAATGTTAAGGTTTTGCGTTTAGCTCTGTTTCTGACAAAGTTACACCAACAAAACCTTGATCATAGATGTAACATGGGTAGTGGAGCCTACTGCACTAAAAACATTTCATTGATTTCTGCATTTTTTTGGTAAAAACCTCAAATTTCTGGACTTAGAAAAAAACTCAACGGTAAGGTTTTGCGTTTAGCTCTTACATATTAGGCTGTTTCTGACAAAGTATAAATGCTACAGCAACCAAACTTGGGTCATAGGTGTATCATGGGATGTATAGCTGAATGCATTACACTCTTTACTAGCATTTTAACGATTTCTGTATTTTTTTTGCTAAAAACCTCAAATTTCTGGACTCAACGTTAAGGTTTTGCGTTCAGCTCTTGCATATTAGGCTCTTTTTGACAAAGTATAAGAGCTACACCAACCAAACCTCAATCATACATGTATCACGGGTAGTAGAGCCTACTACTCTAAAAACATTTCATTGATTTCTGCACTCTTTCGGATAAAAACCTGAAATTTCTGGACTTTAAAAAAAAAAAAATGTTATGATTTTGCGTTTAGGTCCGTTTCCTTATGTACTATGTCAAATGCTTATTATATTGACAAAGCGGGACAGGCGACACATATAATTACGCGTAATTCTTGTGTTCATTTGGGATGAAGCACCCTTGGTAGAAAGGGAACCAATTTTGCATAAATGGTGGGTCTGACCCCCCCTTTTGGCAAAGAGGCAGGGCCAAAGAGGAAAAATAGCTTTTAAATCCTTCTGCTTCTGTAGGAATGACAGGATTATGTCCATATTTGATCTAACGCATCCTTGGGTGAAGGGGACCTAATTTTGTATCAAACATGTGTCTGACTAACCATGTACTACATGTACACCTCCAGTGACACCACGCTATTCTAACTTCAATTTTGCTAACATTTCCAGGTGAGCGATACAGGCCCTCTGGGCCTCTGGTTAAGATTTACATTTGACTTTTTGATCGTTTGACATGATTTAAGTGACTTACAAGAAAGCTGGTTTGAGCACAGAATCTATGCTTGAGCACAAAAACAGTTTCATGAACACCGGGCCCAGACCTGGGAGTTCACAGTGTCCGGAACTTGGATATACTCTAAATGGAAACTTATATGGTTTTCCCCATTTTTGTATTGCAGATTTCATGACACTTTCAAACTTGCTGAAGGAAATTTTAAAAATTGACAAGAAATAGATGATGTTGTCATCCTTGATTAGAAAGTTATTCATTTAAAAAACATGTGTGTAAGATATATCTATCCCTATAGCAAGGGAATATAGGTTATATGTCTCCCATAGCTATGGGTGTAAGATATATCTATCCCTATAGCAAGGGAATATAGGTTATATGTCTCCCATAGCTATGGGTGTAAGATGTATCTATCCCTATAGCAAGGGAATATAGGTTATATGTCTCCCATAGCTATGGGTGTAAGATGTATCTATCCCTATAGCAAGGGAATATAGGTTATATGTCTCCCATAGCTATGGGTGTAAGATGTATCTATCCCTATAGCAAGGGAATATAGGTTATATGTCTCCCATAGCTATGGGTGTAAGATGTATCTATCCCTATAGCAAGGGAATATAGGTTATATGTCTCCCATAGCTATGGGTGTAAGATGTATCTATCCCTATAGCAAGGGAATATAGGTTATATGTCTCCCATAGCTATGGGTGTAAGATGTATCTATCCCTATAGCAAGGGAATATAGGTTATATGTCTCCCATAGCTATGGGTGTAAGATGTATCTATCCCTATAGCAAGGGAATATAGGTTATATGTCTCCCATAGCTATGGGTGTAAGATGTATCTATCCCTATAGCAAGGGAATATAGGTTATATGTCTCCCATAGCTATGGGTGTAAGATGTATCTATCCCTATAGCAAGGGAATATAGGTTATATGTCTCCCATAGCTATGGGTGTAAGATGTATCTATCCCTATAGCAAGGGAATATAGGTTATATGTCTCCCATAGCTATGGGTGTAAGATGTATCTATCCCTATAGCAAGGGAATATAGGTTATATGTCTCCCATAGCTATGGGTGTAAGATGTATCTATCCCTATAGCAAGGGAATATAGGTTATATGTCTCCCATAGCTATGGGTGTAAGATGTATCTATCCCTATAGCAAGGGAATATAGGTTATATGTCTCCCATAGCTATGGGTGTTAGATATATCTATCCCTATAGCAAGGGAATATAGGTTATATGTCTCCCATAGCTATGGGTGTAAAATATATCTATCCCTATAGCATGGGAATATAGGTTTTCTGTCTCCTATAGCTGTGAGTGTGAGATATATCTATCCCTATAGCAAGGGAATATAGGTTATCTGTCTCCCATAGCTATGGGTGTAAGAGATCTCTATCCCTATAGCAAGGAAAATAGGTTAGTTTTCTGTCTCCCATAGCTATGGTTGTTAGCTATATCTATTCCTATAGCATGGGAATATAGGTTATGTCTCCCATAGCTGTGAGTGTGAGATATATCTATCCCTATAGCAAGGAACATAGGTTAGTTTTCTCCCATAGCTATGGGTGTTAGATATATCTATCCCTATAGCAAGGGAATGTAGATTATATGTCTCCCATAGCTATGGGTGTTAGATATATCTATCCCCATAGCAAGGGAATATAGGTTATGTCTCCCATAGCTATGGGTGTTAGATATATCTATTCCTATAGCAAGGAACATAGGTTAGTTTTCTGCCATAGCTGTGGATGTAAGATATATCTATCCCTATAGCAAGGGAATGTAGCTTATCTGCCTCCTATTGCTGTGGATGTACAAGATCTCTTATACGATTTCTCCTACACCTCACAGGTGCATTCCCAAGATTTGTTAGGGAAATATAATCTTGTCTTTACCTATATAGTGAAAGACAGCTTACAAACTCTCAAACTTACAAACCATTGTGTCATCACTTGATGCAGTGTAACCAGGGTAGCATCATCAATTTTGTCAATCCTTGTGATGTCACTCCTTGTGATGTCACTCCTACTCCTTGTGATGTCACTCCTCTTGATGTCACTCCTACTCCTTGTGATGTCACTCCTACTCCTTGTGATGTCACTCCTTGTGATGTCACTCCTACTCCTTGTGATGTCACTCCTATTCCTTGTGATGTCACACCTTGTGATGTCACTCCTACTCCTTGTGATGTCACACCTTGTGATGTCACTCCTTGTGATGTCACTCCTACTCCTTGTGATGTCACTCCTTGTGATGCAGACAGAGAAACTTCAACCTTTGGGATAAGATTTTTGAAGTTTACCACTCTAGTAAACTTCAAAAGTCATATCCTGAGGGTCCAGATTTCTCTGTCTATATCATGAAATGGAAATAGATTCTATAAACTTTCCATACCATGTAAGGTGCCTACCATGGTTATGGCTTTAAGATGGGAATGTCTATATTACATAGCATGGGGTGTAAAATATCAGTTTTATCAAGTTGAATTTAAAATCTCATTCGATACATTGCAATAAAAATTATTAACTGTTGTACACAACTACCATCATTTCAAAAATAAGTTAGGTAGAACTTAACTTGATATCAAGTTAACAGCTGTTTTCTAGTAAATATGTCATTAATATTTGTTGGCAGGATTCAAATGAACTTTTTGTACTTGTTTCTCTGCAGTGTGTAGTCCACCAAAAGAACTCTGTCCTGGAGGCCGAGGAGCACAAACGCCATGTACGACCAGCGAAGCTCTTCACTGTAGTCAGTGGAAGTCACCACAGTGTTTCACCTCACAACTCACATAGCAACAGACACACTGAACACACTTCATTCTCTCCAGAGGTCACAGGTATGTACTCAATCATTGTTACATAGAACACACTTCATTCTCTCCAGAGGTCACAGGTATGTACTCAATCATTGTTACATAGAACACACTTCATTCTCTCCAGAGGTCACAGGTATGTACTCAATCATTGTTACATAGAACACACTTCATTCTCTCCAGAGGTCACAGGTATGTACTCAATCATTGTTACATAGAACACACTTCATTCTCTCCAGAGGTCACAGGTATGTACTCAATCATTGTTACATAGAACACACTTCATTCTCTCCAGAGGTCACAGGTATGTACTCAATCATTGTTACATAGAACACACTTCATTCTCTCCAGAGGTCACAGGTATGTACTCAATCATTGTTACATAGAACACACTTCATTCTCTCCAGAGGTCACAGGTATGTACTCAATCATTGTTACATAGAACACACTTCATTCTCTCCAGAGGTCACAGGTATGTACTCAATCATTGTTACATAGAACACACTTCATTCTCTCCAGAGGTCACAGGTATGTACTCAATCATTGTTACATAGAACACACTTCATTCTCTCCAGAGGTCACAGGTATGTACTCAATCATTGTTACATAGAACACACTTCATTCTCTCCAGAGGTCACAGGTATGTACTCAATCATTGTTACATAGAACACACTTCATTCTCTCCAGAGGTCACAGGTATGTACTCAATCATTGTTACATAGAACACACTTCATTCTCTCCAGAGGTCACAGGTATGTACTCAATCATTGTTACATAGAACACGCTTCATTCTCTCCAGGGTCACAGGTATGTACTCAATCATTGTTACATAGAACACGCTTCATTCGCTCCAGGGTCACAGGTATGTACTCAATCATTGTTACATAGATCACACTTCATTCTCTCAAGGGTCACAGGTATGTACTCAATCATTGTTACATAGATCGCACTTCATTCTCTCCAGAGATCACAGGTATGTACTCAATCATTGTTACATAGAACACGCTTCAGTCTCTCCAGGGTCACAGGTATGTACTCAATCATTGTTACATAGATCGCACTTCATTCTCTCCAGAGATCACAGGTATGTACTCAATCATTGTTACATAGATCGCACTTCATTCTCTCCAGAGATCACAGGTATGTACTCAATCATTGTTACATAGATCACACGTCATTCTCTCCAGAGATCACAGGTATGTACTCAATCATTGTTACATAGATCACACTTCATTCTCTCGAGAGATCACAGGTATGTACTCAATCATTGTTACATAGAACACACTTCATTCTCTCCAGAGCTCACAGGTATGTACTCAATCATTGTTACATAGAACATGCTTCATTCTCTCCAGGGTCACAGGTATGTACTCAATCATTGTTACATAGAACACACTTCATTCTCTCCAATGGTCACAGGTATGTACTCAATCATTGTTACATAGAACACACTTCATTCTCTCCAGAGGTCACAGGCATGTACTCAATCATTGTCACATAGAACACACTTCATTCTCTCCAGAGGTCTCAGGTATGTACTCAATTATTGTTACATAGAACACTCTTCATTCTCTCCAGAGGTCACATGTATGTACTCAATCATTGTCACATAGAACACACTTCATTCTCTCCAGAGGTCACAGGTATGTACTCAATCATTGTTATATATAGAACACACTTCATTCTCTACAGAAGCCATCATCAGCTTCCCTTCCTCACACACGATCAGCAGGCATTCAGCTATTAGAATGCAGGAAATATAGTTTGGATAATATTGTTTTGACAATACCATAGTCTTGTGCAAGACAACAATGTTTTCTAATGGATATATAACCTATATATATATACTGGGTTTTATGTATACCTCATTCACAGTATTAAGGTTTGAATAAGTAAAAAGTTCATGCACAAAATTCTTTATTGTTTTTCTCCTTTTTTCTCCTTCTTCTTATGCAGTTGTGCGGAAGTGCTTAGGGTGTTTCTTTGTTAAATCATGTGTGTAGATTTAAAATGTTCAGTATCTGATTTCAACTGGTATAATGTGTGTTAACATTAATATCAGAGGCATAGAGCATCGCTCTATAAGTTGGAACAAAATACTTATTACAGTTTACATGAAAGTGCTTTTTTGACGAACATTGATATTAAATTTTTCAGTAGTTAAAAAATTGTATTACTTTGTTTTTGTAGATGATGTCTTCGATAGGGATTCTGATGAACATGATAATGTGACTTTGAACTTCAAACCTGATACAGAAGATCTCAAAGAACCAATCAGTAAGTAGACAATGACAGTGCTAAACTACGTAGGCTAGCTAATTTCTCATTCATTTATAAAGAGCGTAGAAATGAAGATTTTGAGTCAAATAGTTAACTCTGCTATGAGTGACAGATCCCAGAACTATGTCATAGGAAGCGGTACACAGTTAACTCTGCTATGTGTGACAGATCCCAGAACTATGTCATAGGAAGCAGTACACAGTTAAAGCTCACTTAGTCTTTCACATTATAGTGTTTTTTTCTGGACTTTTCATGGCTTTTCGAGATTTTTTTTCTTTATGGTAACCTAATAGAGTTACCTCCCTGTAAACTTCTTCAAAACATATAAGAAAGAAGGCACTGGTAATATCTAACACATAGGAAGGCACTGGTAATATCTAACACATAGTAAGGCACTGGTAATATCTAACTCATTGGAAGGCACTGGTAATATCTAACTCATAGGAAGGCACACTGGTAATATCTAACACATAGGAAGGCACCAGTAATATCTAACACATAGGAAGGCACACTGGTAATATCTAACTCATAGGAAGGCACACTGGTAATATCTAACACATAGGAAGGCACACTGGTAATATCTAACACATAGGAAGGCACTGGTAATATCTAACTCATAGGAAGGCACACTGGTAATATCTAACACATAGGAAGGCACTGGTAATATCTAACTCATAGGAAGGCACTGGTAATATCTAACACATAGGAAGGCACTGGTAATATCTAACACATAGGAAGGCACTGGTAATATCTAACACATAGGAAGGCACTGGTAATATCTAACACATAGGAAGGCACTGGTAATATCTAACACATAGGAAGGCACTGGTAATATCTAACACATAGGAAGGCACTGGTAATATCTAACACATAGGAAGGCACTGGTAATATCTAACACATAGGAAGGCACTGGTAATATCTAACACATAGGAAGGCACTGGTAATATCTAACACATAGGAAGGCACTGGTAATATCTAACACATAGGAAGGCACTGGTAATATCTAACACATAGGAAGGCACTGGTAATATCTAACACATAGGAAGGCACTGGTAATATCTAACACATAGGAAGGCACTGGTAATATCTAACACATAGGAAGGCACTGGTAATATCTAACACATAGGAAGGCACTGGTAATATCTAACACATAGGAAGGCACTGGTAATATCTAACACATAGGAAGGCACTGGTAATATCTAACACATAGGAAGGCACTGGTAATATCTAACACATAGGAAGGCACTGGTAATATCTAACACATAGGAAGGCACTGGTAATATCTAACACATAGGAAGGCACTGGTAATATCTAACACATAGGAAGGCACTGGTAATATCTAACACATAGGAAGGCACTGGTAATATCTAACACATAGGAAGGCACTGGTAATATCTAACACATAGGAAGGCACTGGTAATATCTAACACATAGGAAGGCACTGGTAATATCTAACACATAGGAAGGCACTGGTAATATCTAACACATAGGAAGGCACTGGTAATATCTAACACATAGGAAGGCACTGGTAATATCTAACACATAGGAAGGCACTGGTAATATCTAACACATAGGAAAGCACCGGTAATATCTAACACATAGGAAGGCACACTGGTAATATCTAACACATAGGAAGGCACACTGGTAATATCTAACACATAGGAAGGCACACTGGTAATATCTAACACATAGGAAGGCACACTGGTAATATCTAACACATAGGAAGGCACTGGTAATATCTAACTCATAGGAAGGCACCGGTAATATCTAACTCATAGGAAGGCACTGGTAATATCTAACTCATAGTAAGGCACCGGTAATATCTAACTCATGGGAAATTTTATCATCAAAGCTTTACCTTTGAAGTACTTGCAATGTGCATGTCAGGGGAAGTTAGAATAATGTATGTTTCTTGTTATTTTTTGTTAATTCTGTGAGTCATTTTCTATTCAATGGAGAATAAACACAAATTGTTTATGATTTTAACAATGATGGCTAAAATCTTATTACAGGTGAACCATTACCACCAACAACGACAGCTACGGAACTAGAGTTGCCATGGAAACGACTCTTATCACAAGAGCCAATCCCATCAATGTCATCACGTGTGTCTTCATGTGAGGAGCCGCTACATGCTGAAGCGCCATCCTGGGTGAACAATCTGTCGTATAATCACCTGTTGGCCTCCGGGTCACCCTATGCCTCACCTGAGGTCACCTTTGTCCCTGTTATTAAGGAAACCAAGGTATCTATTTACACAGTGTTTCCCCCAGCCCCCAGTAACGAGGGTGGATTAATGCCCCCACCTTGGTCCACACACAGTGAGTGCTCACAAGAAGGTGACGCCCCACTTACTTCAATCAATACGTGTCACCCAGGTGACAAGAGTAACAATTACCTGTTGTCTAATCATATGTCACCCCCTCCCTCCCATCACATCATCATACCCACCATTCAGCACCTGGATGGCTCAGTATCGCGGGGTCAGATTAGTGAGGAAGGGGAACATAAACCCCTCCGGTCCCTGCCAGGGTCCGCCTCTGCACCGGACCTCCCTAAACACTGGACACACTTCAATCCCAAAGGCAGGCTACACTCAGAATCTGTGTTAGAGGAGGCAAAGCTCCAGGAACAGCTTCAGAGTCGTGTTCAGGAATGGTTGTATACAACCAATGATAACAACGATGGGATTATCATTGACCTTGTAAGTCAGGGCACGCCAGATAACCTCAGTGACAATGATGCAGATGATGAGAGTGATGATAGGGAAGACGACAACGAATTAGAAAGTAGTCATTTATAACAACAGTCCACAAGTAGGAGTAGTATTTCCTGATGTGCCTCATATATAATCCTTGATGACTTGATGGAGCAGTTTAACTACTAATTGCGTAAGACTGTGGTATCTTATAAGGCTTTCACACAGACGTTCTGGATCTGAAGGTTGGATCTACATGGTTTATGTATTCCCAAATGTTCTCGGAGAACATTCCAACCGTACATAAGAAAGCTCCTTGATGATATATTGAATTATAAATGCCTTCAAGCTTTTCTTAAAGCATGTGTCGCACTGACATTAAAAATGAGATACCAGGCCTGGTTGCTCAAGGTTGGTCAACTTTCACCAGTGGTTAATGAAAAATTCAAATTGCTGCCAATCAGAAGCGTTGGCTTTCAAAGCGAAAAGAATCCTGAAAACACAGACGTCGTATATGTCGTAACAACCGGGCAGAAGTGGAATGATATCAGATGTTCTTGATTTTGTTGTATTTAGATTTTTAAATTCTCCCTAACCACTGGTTACTATAACCAACCTTTGAGCAACCAGAGCCAGGAGTCATGTAAAGCTACCTAATGATGCATTAAAATTAACTTTATATTGTCGTCATAATTTATGTATTTACAAAAAATATGACCATAAAATATGCTTGTTATGCCATTCCCAATAATTGTCTTTTGAAAAATATAAACAAAAATGTTGTCTTTAAATAATGTAGCGAAAATAATCACATGTTTACGCATACATAGAAAAAGATTGATTTGAAAGTTTAAGCTAATGTGTTGCTAATGTAACGAAGCTTGATACAGCTGGATTCCGGTCCGAGGTATTTAAAGCTGGACTCTGGTCTGAGGTATTTACAGCTGTAATTGGGTCCGAGGTATTTATATGTATATAGCTGTATTTATAAAACTTGTGATATTTGATTTAGTGTCCTACAAGTCTCACCTTTATTGTGATCAACTTAAACACACACATGTACATAAACACACATGTACATAAACACACACATGTACATAAACACACATGTACATAAACGCTGGTACTGAAGACTATTAGTCAGTCTGTTAGAACTTCCAACATATTTCACTAAACCATCCATTATGTCAGTTGTCACATTTTTCAGTTAAAAGCAACACATTTCAGTGGCGGATCCAGAGACCTTTCTGGGGGGGGGGGGGGGGGGTCCAATTTTCTGGGTGTGTTTCCATGTGAGAAAAAATTGAGGAAAATGGTGAAAATACATGATTTTTAAAGAAAATTCTCAGGGTGGGGGGGTTTCCTGAGCCCAAAAACAACCTCTGGATCCACCACTGCATTTATAGGAATGTCATTTAAACAACAAACAGGTGTTGGTCAGTGCGAGTAGCCTGCACATGGTCATGAACATGTACATGTGTGTATTTCATTTTAAATGGATGTGTATGTGTATTAAATGTTAACATGTATTTCTGCGATTTGAACATCATGTGTTCAGAGTGAACAGCTTTACCTTTTATCATAGGATTGGTTTTACTGTGATTAACTATAGGGATTGTACACAGGTTAGCTATTAACTATAGATTTATACTCTGGTTAACTAATAACTATAGAGCTTTGTACTCTGGTTAACTAATAACTATAGAGCTTTATACTCTGGTTAACTAATAACTATAGAGTTTTGTACTCTGGTTAACTATAGAGTTTTGTACTTTGGTTAGCTATAGATTTTGTAAAATGATTAACTAGACATGTTCGTACTGTAGTTAAGCATTCCATATTTTATTTATTAAAATTTCTTTTTGACCTTAAAAATGAAAACAAAACTGTGCTTGTTTCAAGAAAAATGTTCCAGCTGTTTTCCATGATTCCATATTTATGTCTTTTTGTTTTCTGGTTGACATTGGTTCATGTTAGTTCTGATGAAATCAGTGGCAGTGTTTCTTCTACTGTAGGGAAGGGTTGCTTGTTAAATGATGTACAAAATGTAATTATTTTAATTAAATTTTAGCGCAATATAATGGTACTTTTCCTGAATTGTGTTCGCCAATTTCTGTTAATGTCAGTTTAATATAACATACATGGACTCCTGTTTAAATGCTAAAAATGTAAAACAGTTGTGTCAAAATATTGGTGGATTAATTTGTCCTGAATTTATTAAACTAGATGTACATTACTAGTCAGAGAAAAGCTCTCTTTTCTTAAATTTAATTTTTATAGAACCAAAGATCATGATGAAATTTATATGTTCCAAGAATGAAGTGATTTTTAAATGTTGTGTGTTTACAAAAAAGCTTTTATGCTCATACACCTTAGTTTTATTTTTGCCTGTAAAGCATATCACTTTAATAATTCAGATACTGCCATCTGTGTGTAATTTTTTACCACACAAAACTTTTGCCCTTGCATGGCCGTACTTGTGTCTTTCAGATTGATTTCCCCTTTGTTGAATCATCAGTCTTTTGAAATTGTTCTTCCTGTAAGTATTAGTAGATGGAAGCAAAGCAAGTTGACCCCAGGACAACCTCATGCATGTTGAATCAAAAATATAAAAAAAAATGGCTGAAAGTCCTTATCTGCAGCATAATCAGTACATTTTTGTATTTAGTAAATCCTTATTTATATGCAGGAGAAGTCCTTGCATTATGCATTATTTCGAGGAAAGATATAAAACGTTGATTTTAATGTTACGAAAATCTCCAAAAGCATCTGATGATATCTGGTCATCTGCTCTAGATTTAATCAATATTTAGGAATGGCGAACGACAACTTAAGGTTAGTCAAAGGTTAAGGTCAGTCAAAGGTTAAGGTCAGCCAAAGGTTAAGGTCAGTCAAAGGTTAAGGTCAGTCAAAGGTTAAGGTCACTTATTAGCTAATTCATGCTTACAGCTTTGCTGCAGTGTTGTATTTAAATCTCGTTAGAATTAAAAAGGAGAATCCTTGGTTGTCAAAACACACTTTTTGGGGCATTTTTTGTAGTTACCTGTATGGTAGGTCTATTGTTGGTGTATTGTAGGTGTTTCATAGGTATATTAAAGTGTTGCCTATCTATTAGAAAGATTTTACCTTTTCTTCTTTGTTGCCTTGTTTTTGCTTTTGATATTGAAGTTGAAATTCTTGCCTTTTTGTTCAATTGATACGTCCAGAATTGGCAAAATGGCAATACCGGCCACAGGACCAGTATAGAGTATTGTGTCTTTTCCCGGCCACAGGACCAGTAGAGAGTATTGTGTCTTCGCCCGGCCACAGGACCTGTATAGAGTATTGTGTCTTTGCCCGGCCACAGGACCAGTATAGAGAATTGTGTCTTTGCCCGGCCACAGGACCTGTATAGAGTATTGTGTCTTTGCCCGGCCACAGGACCAGTATAGAGTATTGTGTCTTTGCCCGGCCACAGGACCAGTATAGAGTATTGTGTCTTTGCCCGGCCACAGGACCAGTATAGAGTATTGTGTCTTTGCCCGGCCACAGGACCAGTATAGAGTATTGTGTCTTTGCCCGGCCACAGGACCAGTATAGAGTATTGTGTCTTTGCCCGGCCACAGGACCAGTATAGAGTATTGTGTCTTTGCCCGGCCACAGGACCAGTATAGAGTATTGTGTCTTTGCCCGGCCACAGGACCAGTATAGAGTATTGTGTCTTTGCCCGGCCACAGGACCAGTATAGAGTATTGTGTCTTTGCCCGGCCACAGGACCAGTATAGAGTATTGTGTCTTTGCCCGGCCACAGGACCAGTATAGAGTATTGTGTCTTTGCCCGGCCACAGGACCAGTATAGAGTATTGTGTCTTTGCCCGGCCACAGGACCAGTATAGAGTATTGTGTCTTTGCCCGGCCACAGGACCAGTATAGAGTATTGTGTCTTTGCCCGGCCACAGGACCAGTATAGAGTATTGTGTCTTTGCCCGGCCACAGGACCAGTATAGAGTATTGTGTCTTTGCCCGGCCACAGGACCAGTATAGAGTATTGTGTCTTTGCCCGGCCACAGGACCAGTATAGAGTATTGTGTCTTTGCCCGGCCACAGGACCAGTATAGAGTATTGTGTCTTTGCCCGGCCACAGGACCAGTATAGAGTATTGTGTCTTTGCCCGGCCACAGGACCAGTATAGAGTATTGTGTCTTTGCCCGGCCACAGGACCAGTATAGAGTATTGTGTCTTTGCCCGGCCACAGGACCAGTATAGAGAATTGTGTCTGTGCCTGTCATATCAGTATTTCTGTTCACAATTGATCCGTATTATTGCAGCATTATTAGAGCATGTTTGTATCCAAAGTTTTCACAAAAGTTTTGAATGTTTTAAAAAGTTGCTGTTAATCATATCTCTATATAAACTTCACATGAGCACTCCATGACTTTCTGATATATCAACAGAAAGCATTCCAAATGAAGTGTGAATTATCAGTAACTGTTCTGCATACATGGCCTGTTATATAATTGATCTGTTGCATCTGAAGCAATGTTGATTAACATATCTATGTATAGAAATGAATTTACTCGAGCTTCTGAATTTCATGAAGGGTAGTTATAGATAGAAAACTATTTATCAAAATTGATCTTTTACTATATCTCCTGTAAGTGGCTGATATATGTTTAATCTCATAGCACATATCAGTTCTGACAGATCTCTTGTGGGTTACATTTAAAATATAATCTTCTTCCTGTGTGGGCTACATCTCAAGTATAACCCACACAGAAAGTAGGTAACATCTCAAGTATAACCTACTTCCTGTGTAGGTTACATCTCAAGTATAACCTACTTTCTGTGTGGGTTACATCTCAAATATAACCTACTTCATGTGTGGGTTACATCTCAAATATAACCTACTTCATGTGTGCGCTACATCTCAAGTATAACCTACTTCCTGTGTAGGTTACATCTCAAGTATAACCTACTTTCTGTATGGGTTACATCTCGAGTATAATCTACTTTCTGTGTGGGTTACATCTCAAATATAACCTACTTCATGTGTGGGTTACATCTCAAATATAACCTACTTCCTGTGTGGGTTACATCTCAAGTATAACCTTCTTCCTGTGTGGGTTACATCTCAAGTATAACCTACTTCCTATGTGGGTTTCGTCTCAAGTATAACCTACTTCCTGTGTGGGTTACATCTCAAGTATAACCTAATTCCCGTGTGGGTTACATCTCAAGTATAACCTAATTCCTGTGTGGGTTACATCTCAAGTTTAATATACTCGCTAAAAAGGTAACAGTTAACTTTTCTTTATAATACATTTCATGTATATATTTAACTACAGTAACTATTTTCTGTAATTGTAAGTGTACATTTTGTTGGTTGTATATCATTTATTCTACGTATGTGATGTTATTTGTGTTTTTACCTTGACACTATGTTAGTGACCTCCGTACCTGAAATCCTTGATTCTGACTTTAACAGGTGTGTTTCTTGTCTTTCTTCATTATGATATATATGTATATTATTTATTTGTAATATATATACATCACTACAAATATTAAGATACATCTCAATGTATATTGAGGTATAGGTAATGCATCACAATATATATTAGGATATGACTATATGTTACCGTATGTATTAAGATTAATTAATTGAGACCAAGGGACATAACTCGTGAAAAACTTTGCAGTGTCTACTAGATGCCTTTTTTTAATATTTAAGCTTTGATCGGTGTCAAATATCTTAAATGTTCAAACCTTTGACAAGTCCGTAAATTTTAAATAGTGATGAGCACAGCCATCTAAGTAGAGTTTGTAAAATTGTGTCACATGTCAAGGTATTCACTTGATAATTTATTCAACATGATGTATATAAGTTAAAAATAAAGAAATGAATCAGAATGATCACCACAAATTTAGTGGCAGCCTGTCTATGTCAATGTGAGATGTCAACAATTCTAATGAAAACTGAATGTATATTGTAATGTTCAGTACATATATTGTAATTATTAGATGTAGTAAAACTAGTATTGCATTCTGTTGAGGAAAACGACATTGATCTCCTTGTGTTAACTTTGGCACTATTTTATCTCTTTAACATTACTACGAAGCTGTGTTACACTTCCCTGTACACGACGTAAGTTTTACTATATCTTTACTAGAACATCGTATATCCTCACTAGATCTTGGTGTCCACCTGGATAAGGATAATTTATGCACATTGTAATATTAATGTAATTTAAATGATTGTCATTGTCATTCTAATGTGGAGATGTTCTTTGTGAACTATAATGTTTTGTCCAAAGTGTGATGGGGGAGGAGTTTGAGTATGGTGTCTGATGATATAAGCTATACAATATGATGGGGGAGGAGTTTGAGTCTGGTGTCTGATGATATAAGCTATACAATGATATACATGTTTTTATACAAATATTAAAGGTTTGGGGCTCCTTGGAGCTCCTGAATGAACTCTGATCCTCCCCAAATACTGGACAGCCCCACTGTCCTATACCTGTGTTCCTGTAACTTGCCGGGTTATGTCAGTGTGAGTGAGAAGTTTCGTTGTCATATCCTGATATCAAATTAAGCTTTATTGATGCACCAATAAATCAAACATGATTACGTAATAAAATATTGAAGTAAAATATTTCTGGTTCAGTGTGCCTTTGTTCCAGGGAGAGTAATCGTGTAATTTTTTCTTTGGGAGGAGAAAAGGAGTATGCTTTATAAGTTTCCCTAGCTTTAATTGGATTAAATCCAAATTTGGTGGGTTTTTTGGGGAAACCTATAAATAAAATTTCCTTTCATACTCGTGACACGGCTTTCATGCTAAAGCGTAGATTCTGTGTTCAAACCAACTTTCTTGTCATTCACTTAAATCGTATGACACTATCATACTTGCCAAATCTCCCTATTTTGGAGGAAGACTCATAGCCATAAAGAACTATAAAATTGAGCATTTTTAACTACCGAAATTGCTAAACTATTCTTTTTTTTCTAAAATTGGATGATTGCATCTGAAAGAACAGCTCAAAAGATGCATTTTAAATGTGATTTTGTCCCTTTGGGTTATACCCACAAATTATTTACATATAGTCTATGTTTTTAAACTGAGCACACGTAATCTCCCCATGGAAATTTTAAAAAGTTGGCAAGTATGCACTGTTATTTTTAAAAATGGTATTTTGCTGAAAATCTCCCCAAAATTGTTAAAAATCATGGACATAACTATTTTTTTATTATGTTATTAATCAAATCAAGAAATTGAACTTGAGCACAGAATATGAGAGTAAGCATGAAAGGGTTTCATAAATACAGCTCCTCGAATACCTTGAGACTAGGGCATGTTGCACATGGCTTCATTGTAGAGCGTGAAGCAGTAGATGGTGACTGAAATATGTATGTATCAGTATAATTTATTTTAACAAAGGCCAAATTATTTCTTGTCATAGGTCACAGAGGAAATATTATATAGTGATACAGTTTGACGAAAATGATTTTTAGGATGTTGTCATGATCAACGCCTTTTATTGTGTATGTCCTGCAGGAGATCTGACATCTAAGGGTGCCCCTTTAGCACAAATCTGATATGACTGAGGATTTTTTTAGTATTTAACTAACTATTAAACATTCCAGCCAGCTGTTTGTAAATTCAAACAATCTGTATGGTAAGCAGAACTTTAATAATCCGATGGTTCTAGTGTAGTAATCAAAACAATGTTTAATGTGGACAAAAGAAACACCAGTGATTGCCCACGTGAAACCTCCCTGCAAAAACATGATTCCATACACCATGCCCCAGTGTCAACATGCAATAGTATGAGGATAATTTGACTACACTAGTTTAAGTTTGAAAAGTAAAGAAAATAAATATGAAGGCTAAAGTGAAGTTTTATAAGAGATTGTAATTGCAATTGAATTACTTCAAACATCATATTGTGTAAACTAGAATTTAACTAAAACAGCTATATTTGTTTTGGCTCGGTGAACCTTATTTTTAAATGGGTTTTTTTTAAATCCAGGGCAGTGTAAATGATTATAGATGTGTACACTATGTTGATAGCTTGCACATTAACATCAGTCATTATAACGACTCCAAGAATTTGAGAAATAATACCTAAGCAAAGTTACATTAAAATCTGGGGCGGTAAAAACAGCTGTGGTCTGGACAATGAAGACACACAGTGATAAATCTGCTAGCGACCAGAAGAATCATCTATGTTTAACTTGATTATGCAACAACAGGGAAGATATAGTAAACACAAACAAGGATGAAAATCACTGTTTACGTTTTAATTTATTTAATAAGGATGGATTTTCAAGCTTTGTTACCAACACCTAAAAACATTCTATAAGGAAACGTCTCAAAAAATTATTTTTTTACTATTATATCATACAGATAATATACATATGTGTACAAACATGATCACGGGCTGGGGAGGATATCACTACGACTTCGTTCAAAATATGAATATAAGCTTCTCCATGGGCGGATTCTATAATTAATCATTTGATGTAAAAAAAAAAATGCCTTCGTTTGGTTGACAATTATGTTTTAATTGCCAAATAAAGACTATTTGACTAGATATGGTGTTAAAATAGTAGTTTGTAACGTGCGAAAGAGAACCCATCATGTCACTGAAAACGGTCGATGATCCAAAAGCGTTCTAACAAATGGCATGGGCAACCTCAATTTCAACCCCCCGATAAGTCATTTAAAGACCCCATTTAAATATCGGTATTCACATATGTGGCATATATTTGGTATAAAGCGGCGTGCGTACCCGATGCACCATCTGGGTAGTGGCCTTTCAAAATATTCAAGAATCCCACCGCTGTCACCAAATGTAACGCAAGAGAGGGAATCATCCAGACACTGACCAAATTCGGTGTTGTTTAATTATCGAGTCCCAGGGTTAAACCTATTGCTATATATTACCAGTAAAACAACATTTCTCCTATTTCGAATTGACATGGATGACAATGAGCCGGATACATTGTGTTAATAATGAACGTGGCATTCCTATATGATTCTTGTCTGATTTAGGTGGTATAACAGGATAAGAGTGCCATACCAACTACCGATGTGTTCCGCTGTACAATCATTAATACCAATGTAAATGTAAAACACTTGTTATTGTAATTGGTTGTTGTTTTCCTGTAACGATAGACCGGGTAGGTCTCACATGTGAACGTTCATTTCGTTTAACCCTTAGTCTAAGTAACCCCTAACAAACCCTGTGACACTCATGCTGCTTGGAGCAGACGGTTTTACTCATCAAGTACAGACATGGATATTACAACAGCGTCATAAATATCATCGTACCATACACAAACCTATATTGCCTTAACTACTATGCACGTTAATTTAATACACTGATCAACATTGGGTCGATTCCAACGTCCAGAAGCATTTACTCCTAACCAACGAGATTGTTTTATAACAGTCTACGTCATCTTAGGCTCTCGTAAATCTGTCAACAACATATTTATGTAACAGTAACAGGTACCTATTTTAATGCACTCTTGATGTTATCTATTCAAAAGCTATCAGAAGAAGCGCTTTTCTCAGACATGTTGTCTCCCAAGATGTTTGTCACCAATTGGTCATCCTGTGATATGTTGGTTTCCAATCCTGTTTCTTCCAATTTGTTGGCTTCCGGTCTGCGGTTATGTAGAGACTCTTTGTACGTTCGGAAATCTCGAAATATTGCTGAAGTTGTCTTTCGCCTTTCAATGAGTTGCGGGAGACGCGCTTTTTCAATCATTTTGTCCATTTTCGCTTTATCCTTCTTCGGAGATGAAAGAACAAACATCTTGTTTGAAACCTCGCGTTCCATGAACTTCTTCATTCCAAACACCGTTTTACATTCCCCCGGCAACAAAGATGGTGGTCGTGTCAATGGTGCCCGGATGTCGGATGATGGAGGGGCTTCGCCTGTAGTCATTCTCCGCACAAATCGTGGACGTTCAGAGACAACCCGTTCCGGTTTTTTGTGAATTTGTTGCTTCCACATTACCAGTGCTTGCAGCTTTATTGCAAGGATAGAAGACAACGCCGATGTTATCTTTTGCTCTTCTTTTTCCTCCTCATTCGTTCGTGTTTCCTCAGGAATAGGTTTCATTTCACTTTCCTGACATTCTGCGTCAGGGTTTCCGTCATCCAGGGCTGTGAAAGTGTCACTGATATCGCTCTCTGCAATGGACGAAAATCTGGTCCGTGTGTAAGCAGTGTCAGTTCGTCTGCTGTCCGACAAGTCGGATTTACTCCTCCTCACGGGGTTCCTCTTCAGTATCCTCACATAGCCGGGCGCGTCGTCAATGTCCGGTAGCTGTGTTGAACACAATGAAGTTTGTCTAGAAAAAATGTTTAGGCTGTTATTCGCAACATCATTTTTCTCTGACATCTGTCGTCTGTTTAATTGCGGGTCATACTTTCCAAAGCCATGCTCCTTACACACGCGGCCATATGCTATCATCTTCGTGTATTCATCTCGCAGCATTTCAAGCTCGCGTGTTGTATGTAACCTTGCAGCCTTCTCATTAGAAATCAATTGTTTAAGTTCTTTCAGTAGTTTCCATCTCTCATGTTCATTTTTCATCTTAGTCTGTAGCATAGCTTCATTGCTCATCCGCACAATGGAACAGTTAGCTGTTTCACCAAACAGGTGATCCGCCAAGAGTCTTCGAGGCATGGTTATCAATGACTGAAAGTATAACAATAACTTAAAAGAAAAATATTCTCAATATAAACATATCGCATACCGTTGTATTCATCTGCAGTGTATGCATGTAATGTAATGTCTACACGCATAGTTATATCAACCCAAAAAACATAGTGACAGTCTCTCTAACACATTAACTTATTCATATCAACATTTAAAAAAAGCATAAACGAACTTTCAGACTCTCATACAACATCTAACTATTTATAAAAATGTTACAAATATATTTACCAGCCTAAAGAAAATCTTTTGAAATAGGCAACTTCTACCAGAACCTTTCTGTTGAAAACATCAACGCCAACATCCACAATATAATGTAATTTTAAATAACTGAACTAACGTAGGTAACCTATATTTTATTCTAACTGTTTTCATTGCAGTAAATGTCAGGGTGACCACAATATAGTATCAAGAGCTTTTATCACTGATTCAATGCATAACGTGATAGGTATGGTATTGGCGTTTTAATTAAGGAATTCATGTAACACTTTTTAGTGTATCTTTGTGTGGTTACTGTCATGGTCGTAGATATACTGTCATATCTTTTTTATTTTAAAACATATTTTCAACCGAATTGTCAACAACTTTACATTTATTGTGTTTTTATCGTCTGATAGCGGTCTGAAATCCTGGGACATGTATGTCTTCATTTTAAATGAAAATACACGTTATACAAACTTTACATTAATATCATATTACTCTTAACGAGCTTAAAAGCTTAACACAGTACATGGTATGGAGCCTTTCAATGCTTATACGATACCAATGTATCATCAATCAGCTGATAGAAAAGTATTGCTAAGAATCTATAGAACAGGGTCTGGACTTGAATGTGTGGCTTTCAAAACTACACCAGCTAAACCGTCGTTTTATAAGCATCGCGAGAAACGAAATCAAATAATTCAAAACAAACTTAATCATTTGTTGTCAATCCAAATTATGTCCAAATGAATATCGACACAATTTAGTCATTTGCAATAATTTATAGTCATCTATGGCTTTTGATTGACCTATGGTTGACCTTTCGCTTCGTGACAGTTATATGATCCATATTCATCGTTTAACTCATGCTATCTATCTTACCCTTGAAAAAATATAATCAAAAGATGTACCGAAAGAAATTATCTATTATGATTGCAACAGAGAATTTCTATTAGAAAATCTTTCTACCATTACATCATACTGCCTGAAAATGTCACATTTTAATTATGCTTGTTTCCAGGACATGCCAGTAATTGAAAGGGCAGATCGCGCCGCCATTGTGGAATCATCGCTTCTACTTATTGATTTTAAACTTTATTTTACATATTTTAAACCACTAATAGCAAAGATTGTAATATCACAGCGGCAAAGTAATTGGAATAAATGCGTACATAACAAATGACACACTACTACACCTGTAATTGGTGACTGGTGTCCTAGCTGAAAGGTTTCGGGACGAGGTTGTCCTTACCTATCTCCGACTCTATCATGCAAACATTACACAATCTTGCGAGTATTTATTAAACGCGAAGGCCAGACTCAATGCATAGCATGTCACGAACCATTTACACACTTGTTATTAGATAGTATTGACCTTCAACAATAATTTCCACAACCAAATAACAAGTTTTAAATATCTTTTCGAAACAGTAAATATCTCCTCTGAACTTCAGGACTGGTGCCTGTTAAAACGATATAAGTTGGGACGTAAATATTTTAGTAGTAATGATTGTCCCAGCGCATATCTGTTGCCATAATACTTTTTCACAATTTTGCGTAAAAAGACATATCTCTAGGTTAAATTCATCACGAAATGGAATATTATCAAATATGTTGTACAGTAGATACACAAACGTCCAATCATTCACTTTACCTAAGCTGCTATCCGGGTTTTAGTAATGCATTGGATGCGCTTGAGTAGAGACACTCTACTAAGAGTACTCTCCATTTCGGAAGAAGATTTAAAATAGACATATGACTACCTTGATAAGCTTCCAACTCTTAAGCCACAACAAAATCCCTTCATTTTTTGACAAAATACAGACTGCCTCCTTATAATACACCTATTATTAATCATCAGAAAACCACAGTGTGACAACGAACAAGGATTGGATTTGTCTTTTGTTCTGGAGGGAAACTGAGTGAGATGGTAGGGGTGTATGGTGTATGGGGTCGGCGACGGGGGACGGGGGCCTGGTGTGAGGAATCATATAGGGTGAGAAAACCATGCCACAAGTTCAAATCAGTTTCAGACATTTTCTCACCAAGATGAGAAATCGTGTCAGCTATGTTATTACGTTTTCCCATTAAACTGTGTCGGGTGAGAAATCGTGTCAGCTATGTTATCACGTTTTCCCATTAAACTGTGCCAGGTGAGAAATCGTGTCAGCTATGTTATTACGTTTTCCCATTAAACTTTGTCGGGTGAGAAATCGTGTCAGCTATGTTATCACGTTTTCCCATTAAACTGGGTCAGGTGAGAAATCGTGTCAGCTATGTTATCACGTTTTCCCCTTAAACTGTGCCAGGTGAGAAATCGTGTCAGCTATGTTATTACGTTTTCCCCATTAAACTGTGTCAGGTGAGAAATCGTGTCAGCCATGTTATTACGTTTTCCCCATTAAACTGTGTCAGGTGAGAAATCGTGTCAGCCATGTTATTACGTTTTCCCCATTAAACTGTGTCAGGTGAGAAATCGTGTCAGCTATGTTATTACGTTTTCCCCATTAAACTGTGTCAGGTGAGAAATCGTGTCAGCCATGTTATTACGTTTTCCCCATTAAACTGTGTCAGGTGAGAAATCGTGTCAGCTATGGTATAACGTTTTCCCATTAAACTGTGTCAGGTGAGAAATCGTGTCAGCCATGTTATCACGTTTTCCCATTAAACTGTGCCATGTGAGAAATCGTGTCAGCTATGTTATTACGTTTTCCCATTAAACTTTGTCAGGGGAGAAATCGTGTCAGCTATGTTATCACGTTTTCCCCATTAAACTGTGTCAGCTGAGAAATCGTGTCAGCTATGTTATCACGTTTTCCCATTAAACTGTGTCATGTGAGAAATCGTGTCAGCTATGTTATCACGTTTTCCCCATTAAACTGTGTCAGGTGAGAAATCGTCTTGTAACATAACCAAATCTACAATTGACTTGTACGTAGATTTTCAATCTGTTTTTTTGTTCCAGTATATATAAATAAAAGGAAACTAGTGTTCAATAAACATACTTTCGCAACGACTCTAATAAAGAATCACAAACTACGCCTGACTTGGTATCCTAACCAGCGTAACATTGGTTAGTGTTGTAATTGTATGTTTTAACGCCTCAACCTACTTCATAAGTTTATATCGCAGTCCCAAAATCAACCACTTTTTATTGTTGCAATTACATTCTGGTGTCCCAACCTAATGTTTGTATAGAAAACAAAAAATTCCAGGAGTCAATCTTAGGACATAACCAATGCAAATCGTTTAGTTTACCTACCCATGGTATAGTAATTAGTTTACCTACCCAGGGTATAGTAATTAGTTTACCTACCCACAGGGTATATTAATTAGTTTACTTACCCACAGGGTATAGTAATTAGTTTACTTACCCAGGGTATATTAATTAGTTTACTTACCCAGGGTATATTAATTAGTTTACCTACCCAGGGTATATTAATTAGTTTACCTACCCAGTGTATATTAATTAGTTTACCTACCCAGGGTAGATTAATTAGTTTACCTACCCAGGGTATATTAATTAGTTTACTTACCCAGGGTATATTAATTAGTTTACTTACCCAAGGTATATTAATTAGTTTACCTACCCAGGGTATAGTAATTAGTTCACCTACCCACAGGGTATATTAATTAGTTTACCTACCCACAGGGTATAGTAATTAGTTTACCTACCCAGGGTATATTAATTTATATTTTATGGACACAAGCTTAATTAGTTAAGTTTACCTACCCAGGGTATATTAATTAGTTTACCTACCCACAGGGTATAGTAATTAGTTTACCTACCCAGGGTATATTAATTTATATTTTATGGACACAAGCTTAATTAGTTAAGGTTAGACGTTCCGTACTGGAGACAAATAAATGTACTTTGACTGGTCCAACAATGGTAACACAACATAGGTACTCACACTTTTTTTTCGCTTTAACTATAACTAAAAAAAAAAAGATTTTACTGCACATTCTTATACAGATAAAAAGATAAATAGAACAAGTTCAATACGTACATCAATGAAATGCGTACACGAACAATGGGCATTCCTTCCTCTTCTGGTGACGTTTGAAGTTCGCGGATATGTTTGTCACGTCAGATGGAATAAATCATGACATGTTGTTCCTTCTGGAATGGCACTGGTATAGCTGTAATTTGTTTACGTCTACGATTACTGATGATTCGACAGAAGTTACCGGACAAAGTAGTCTCTTCACATGCAAATTCGTTTCAAATCCAATTTGAAGTCAACGAAATAAATACTTTCCCAAGTCGATGAAAAATAATGCCGAAAGAATTCCTCTCCTGCTCCTCCCGAAACTTATCAATAATCGACCGAAGATATTTCGTTTATATTCTAACAGAAATCAGTCGTTCTGTCGGTGTAGCTTCACTTCTTGTGGTATCCTGATCCACTGCAGTACGCCTTTACATTGAACCAGTTTCTGTAGTGCTGCTGTTGTACTCGGTAAAACCCAGTCAGAAAGGGTCCGCTCAGTCGATGACAGGTAACTCAAATCACAGTTCTGCTTGTGCATCCTTCTGTGCGCGTTGACATTATGTAAAATGTAGTTACTTTGAGTAGAAAGTGTCACTGCTCCCGGTCTGACGTCCAATTTCTAAGTTCCCGAAAGGGGACACCCACTTTAAAGCGATCTTTAATCTAAATTAAAAAAACTCGAGATTCGACAAGAGTACGCCTCTTGATTTTTAAAGGTTGAACCATTATATACCGATAATCAATTAATTGTGTTCAGTGAACTGGCGTTCTTTAAAAAATATGTCCTGTCCCTACCAGGCCCGATGTTGACAACTTAAGTAAAATGTGACCTTCCACTATTTTTATTTAGACTAAAGGTATGTAGCCGCAAAACAGGTATTAAATACTTTACAGAAACAAACTGTCGTACCTCGGGGACAGTGTGTATTACTGTATGACAAGGCTTACTTATTCTATACAACTTACTATCGAATGTCTTAACAGTCAGGTCAACTGATATAGCATTGCGATACAAAGCGACAAAATAGGAAAAGGTCACGTATAAAACTTGTTGTACCAATCTAGCTCCCTGCCTTTATAGGTGGCATGGATCATTAAGTGGAAGTGTAAATGTTTCTTTTACACAATGCGTTCATTTATGGGTTTTCTGTGTCTATTGTAGTACACAATACACAATGGAATCATATAAGAAATATTTACCACATGATCGAGTTCTGACGGTGATTACCCGTCGGCTATGCATGATTACAAGGGGTAAGTTTTATTCTGTAAGTCAACATCCAGTACGGTACCACCTATATTTTCTTTACCGATCACGATATCTTTTAAGACTGTTTTAATAGTTACATTTTCAAATTCATAATGCTATGTGAAAAGTCTGTCTGTATGTCTCAAACTAAAACCTGATACAACTTACAGAGGCTTCAAATCCGTGATGTCCTTTATTATATAAGCACTCAACAAAATTTAATTTTAACAAGACGAGGAACTAAAAATGTGGCTTACAAAAGGTCACCGTCTAACACTTGTGCCAAAAGGGTTGATTTTATCCCAATCCGAGTAGATGGTAGAATTTAAATCGGGACTCAAGATTTACTTATTTACAAACTTAAGTTATTGTTAATTAAATACGTGTCGTTGATAAAATTGCTATGATTTCGTTTCATCTTAATTGTTTTATAGTAGCAAAGTGGTATTAAAAATCGTAACACATATCACATGAGATACGTATAACAGTTATTTGATATCAAAACGATCGTGGCTATTAGATCTCAGTATCACACAACACATTTGTTAATATCGAATATATATAATGTACAAATAAATTACATATGAATTTATCAGTATACTGTGTTTGACCTAAATCATATACGATGCGTTTTGATATATATTCTGTATCAAGTAAAGTATGTACAAACACTATTATATCATAGCTTTAATCATGAAGAAGATTGGAAAATAATATACTGCATCTCTTATACGCAGAGACAAAGTCGGAAAAGGTACGCAGACAATAAGAACGGAGGTGACGACGAAACATTTGGAAAGACATCATTACACAAAACGTTAGACAAAATAACAGTATGACCTTTTTAGTAAAATGCGATATCAGTTGACACATATCTTCAGTAAGATCTTAATAATAAGATTTGAGTTACAGCTTGACAAAGGGGCCAGTTGGTCTTGAAACGTTGCGACACGTTTAATTCGTATATTGTTTGTGTAAAAAGTAAAATTTTGATTTTTCAGTTGACACATATATCAAAGTGAAAACTTATATGAGCATGTAACATAACTGGAAATATAAAAATAATGTTTTTATTTAGAAAACTATCAAGTTCGTGACAAACTTTTAAAACTATATATCATTATTAGTTCATCGTCATTTCATTTGGATATATAACATAAATGTGCTTGAAAATAGTGTCCTTTTCTGAAGGAGTCATTTCGCTTTACCTGTATTAACGGTAATCTGGAAATTATGACATGAACATATTTTAAAATATTTCCTTTTTTAATGTACGAATCATTCGCGTTTCATGTGTTAACAGTTATCTAGTGTTATTGTCGTTACATATTTACATTTCTACTTATGTTTGACTCATTATAGCTTCCAAAGAACCCGAAGTATATTTTTTCCATAAACTTTCTAATTGGCAAATGAGTACGTCTGTGAGTCATAGCGAAAAGTAGAAACATTTATGGATTATTTTCGTTTTGCTTTCTGCTAAAAAGGAAATCCGACTAAAATAAACATGTCTTTATGTGTTATATTGAATAAACGTTGTTCTCAATACAAAATGCCTTTTTCTCTTTTATCAAGACGACGTCTTACAATGAATAATGACGTCACTTGCACTTGAACAAGTCCGATATTTTTGAAATTATCAAAACCGCACTGAATGTTAATATAAGTGTTGAATCCTATTCGGGTGTGGTTAAAAAACCATGATATTAACAGATTTGCAATTAATTACATTTGTTCCAATACCCTAGGAGGTTTATGTCCCATAAACTTCGACGGATCAGGATTCAATACGTCATTGTGTATCTCAACATCAAAACAGTCATCTTAAAAAAACACTAAATGGAAAATCGAGACCCTTTAAGAGTTTTATTAGAATAGTTTGATATATGATACTATTATATGTTTTGTAAAGATATGTTCCTGTGGGTGTTTAAGCATCATGGTACGCATTTTTTCTTTGGCTATTTTTTAAGTATTGTTTGTTTGTTTTAATGCATTAAAACAGATATACAGCACACGAAGTACGGTATGATAGTATGAATTAATACCATTGCCAAAAAAGTCTGCAATGGTTACAAAATAAATCATTTTTTTCTCTCTTAAGACTGACTGTATCATTCCCTTTACTCGCTAAATGCCTTAATATCTAACAACGACAACTTACCACTAGCACAGTGTATCCTCCTAATTGTGGTGATCATCGTCCAGTTCTGACAGTGACGTAAACTCTGTCAATGTCGACCAAAAAGCAATATAAGAGACGATTTGTTCAGAACTACTGATTGTACAGATAACATCTTTAATATTTAAATACAAGGTGATATCGAATGTATAAATAGTTTTCTTACTTACTTAGCTTGTTCAGAACTGCATCAAATAAAACAGAACCTGTTAGACTTAAACATCTTAACGACTAGCGATATAAGACTGAAAATAAGACAAAATAATCGTTTGCAGTATAGGGTGAGCATTACAGTAACCCTAGCCTCGTAGACGTCAGGGAAATGATGGCATATTGCGGAACTGTCTATCCTCCGAGTGTCTACGGCGAATCTGACTCATTATTGTACATTGATACTTGCAGCTCAAAGTATTGCTGATTGTTTACTCATGATTCCCATCCCCACAATAATGTTCTAACAATCAACAGAACTTAACTTCGGAACAATGGACAATAGATGACATTGATCAGCTTTACCTAGTATACTGACTAAAATGAAGGCCCTGACCCATCCGTCCGAAATGCAGGACAATGTTCAATAAGATTGATGAGTTTCGGAAAACTTTGATGTTGCAGGAAAATGTTATAACATTGCGAACCCTCTCTGCCTTAAATATGTGATAATCCATTTACGCTGGTTAACTTCCAGATACATCGTTTATTAGCATGGTACACCCGTGTAATCGTTTATTATCATGGTACACCCGTGTAATCGTTTATTATCATGGTACACCCGTGTAATCGTTTATTATCATGGTACACCCGTGTATAATACTGGAAGAACAGGCTCATGCAACTATTGACCCATATCTCCGATATTTAGTTAAAACATAATAGTTAAATCTTCGTTTAATTATCTCTCAAGCAATGATATTTAATCAGTTAGGTTCGTTTCCTAGGGTTTCAACAGATTATCAACTGTAAGTTATATACGATACATTCGAAAATTGTCAAGACAAAGGTAAAAAAGTGTTTTCTGTGATGTCAGTTCGAATTATCGTTTTGTAGACGTTAAGTTATTTCTTAATTTAAAATATAAAATAAATTCCTATATTTCTTATATCATAGTAGTTATATTTCATAAATAACAAAGACATTTATTACAAAAATCTCGAAATTTTGAAGAAAAGTTGATTCAGTCTCAAAATAATTCTTTGACATGATCGATTTATCAGCGACACAAATGTCCGACCTATCTTATTCAAATTAACATAAATGCGTCTAAAAAGTGGTAAAACGTGTCTATAAAGTCTGAAGTAATTTTCTTCCAATTATTTTGAAAACTTCAATAAAGAAATGTATTCCTTTGAACCGAATATTTTGTATGACTGTTGCATTTCTGTAAACATTTGAACTTAAACTCAAACTAGAGAGGCCTCTGTGTGATGGAAGTAGCATGATCTCAGTGCGACAGAAGGGTGGACGGTACACTGACATACCCAGCCCTATATGAGGCGCGTCTATGTGATGGAAGTAGCATGATCTCACTGCGACAGAAGGGTGGACGGTACACTGACCTACCCAGCCCTATATGAAGGGCCTCTGTATGATGAAAGTAGCAGGATCTCACTGCCATATTTACAGAAGGGTGGACGGTACACTGCCATACCGAGCCCTATATGAGGGGCCTCTGTGTGATTGAAGTAGCATGATCTCACTGCGACAGAAGGGTGGACGGCACACTGACCTACCCAGCCCTATATGAGGGGCCTCTGTGTGATGGAAGTAGCATGATCTCACTGCGACAGAAGGGTGGACGGTAAACTGACCTACCCAGCCCTATATGAGGGGCCTCTGTGTGATGGAAGTAGTATGATCTAACTGCGACATTTACAGAAGGGT